ACAGTGCTGCCTAGATAGGTGAAAGAGACTACTTCCTTTAAGTTTCTCTCATTGATGGTGATTGGAGATTGTGGTTGTTGGTGGTGGCTTTGGCTGGGTAACATCATCACCTCTGTCTTCTCTACATTCACTTGAAGTCCTGTTTTCGCTGCCTTGCCTCTTCCGTCAACTTGTTAGTTTTCGCCTGTAGATCGTCGAGTTTGTGTGACATTCGACATAAATCATGATGGGCGAAATCCAAATCTTGTACGATCTTCTCCCCGGTCCAGCGTATCCCCTTCTTCTCGCTCTTCACTGTTTTTTGCATGATCCAGTCCACCACAATCCGGAATATCATGGGTGATAGTAGACAGCCTTGTCTTACCCCTGTCTTCACTTCGAAAGCATCACTGAGCTTCTCATTGTGAGTTACTTAGCATGTGGTGTATTCATATAGTTATTGAATCAGATTGATAAAGGTTTGTGGCATTCCATAGTGTTGAAGCAGTTGCCAGATTTTTTCTCGGTCGACGCTGTCAAAGGCCTATTCAAAGTCGATGAAGTTGAGATAGAGGGTTGACTGACATTCTATGATCTGTTCTATGATGATGCACCATTCATTTTCTTATGGAAATATTCAAAATGTTTATGAATAATTGAAAGTAATCAAGAGATATGTTAACAGAGCGTTAAAAGAGAGTACTGCAAAGCTAATTCGTTGTATGATTGGACTTCATATCAATACACATCCAAGAGTTGAATCGATTTATTCAACTCTGCCGCAGCTGATTAACAAACATACACACATGAACATGGCTAGATATGAGATTTTATCTTTTAGGTTGTTCTAAAGAACACCGGCCTACAGAACAATACTTTAATACATCCTGTAAAGAACTCTATAATTTTCAGTTGGTTGAAATCATTTTCTTTAAAGTACTAACAACTGGGACACATTTAAAGTCAAGATTCATATGTACGATATATTCTGATATACAAATTTAGTCAGATCATGAGGCTTTCGGTTCGGTTTACTTCCCTATGAACTGTGTTGGATATGTATTTCTGATCGGAATTTCTCGCCTATGATTCCATATTATATTATCGTTTTGATATGACCAGCACATGGTCATGTCGTATTGTTTTTGCTGGATGACATTTTGAGCAGAACACATTGCTCATATTCATATCTCAGTAATCATACAACTTTCCTGTATATAGTTCAACAGTTCTTCATTTGTTGATTTTAATGGTAGTAAAATTTTCCAGGTACCTGAAATATGTATAGTGTCATTTCTATGATATGAACGAAGAGTCTGTGATCAATATCTCCCTCTAATAAGCTGTATTGGATTTTAGAACCGTCAACCTATCCCACCCATCCTATTGTATGTGATTATGAAGCAATGCATGCAGGGTGACAGTCGAGAATTCTTCTAAGTTATTTATCTTAGTAGAGTTTATAATTGTATGTTTCACTAATATTTTGTGTTGTGGTATTCTGACTGACTCAAATCAGCTGCCTTCATCTATATACTTAAACTAATTGGTTCTACTGAATCTTTTAGCCTACAAAGTGGAATAGTAATGTTAGGGATGATTGTAACATGCTAAAGAGAGTATTCAAATCCTCTGAGTCAGTGAGAATAGCATAATACAAGTTGTTGGCGAAACATACAATGATAGACCTTACTGACATAAGTAACTTGGAAAAATCTTGACTGTTGCCCTGCATGCATTAATCCCTGATCACACACAATAGGGTGAGCGGGATAGGGTATTATTATTTGTTCCTTAGGTTCCCAGTGGAACATACGGATTCAGTAGCACATTGCCACTTCACTCTTCTCTCCAGTCTTGTTTTTTAACCTGGCTCCATCAACTTTCATCCCCTCCTCACTCTCGCAAGCTCAACTCTTCCTTTGACTTTCACTCGAGGCCTTGACATGGTGTTTGGTGTCCCCAAACCGTCGTATCAGTGTACGCCAAATCCAATCCCATCCAATCCATCTCCATTTTCTTCTCTATATTTGTTGGACGATAGGTTGTTGATTGGTTGGTTCGTTGCCAGAGTGAGTTCCTTGTTGCTTATTCTCACTATTCTGGCCATCTGATCTGATCTTCAGTATGTAGTGAGCGTAGGCGGAAGCTGTTCATGTATATCTGTAGTTTGTTGGGAATCCTTTTTGTAACATGCCAAGTCTCTGAACCATCACATCGAAGGAAGAACTGACTTGATTGACTTAGTATTGAAAATCCGGATGTTATTCTTGAGGCTGATTGCAGTGCAGTGCAGCGAAATGCAGTAGGTATCCACACTGATTTCAGATTATTACAGGAAAGCCTATCTTGCTGTATTTCTTATCCTGACTGGCTGGCTGGCTGACTCTGACATCCTCATGTGTGACTATGTCACCACCTGTAGTTGAAACCATGCTGTCTTGCCTATGTTGGTAGGTAGGTGAAATAGACTACTTCCTTTACATTTCTCCCATTCACGATGATTAGTGCTTGTTGTTGTTGTTGTTGTTGTTGATGATGATGATGATGATGGTTGGTTGGATATCTTCATCACCTATGTCTTCTCTACATCCACTCAATGAAAGTTCCGTTTTCGCTGCCTGGCCTCACCTCGCCGCACCTCGTCTCTTCTTCCAACTTGTTATTTTTCGCCTGTACATCTTCGAGTTTGTGCGACATTAGATATTAGACATAAATTATCATCGTTGGCGAAATCCAATGAAATCTTCTAGGATCTTTTCTCCGGTCTAGTCGTATATGCTCATCTTTTTGCTCCTCACAGTTTGTTGTATGATCCAGTCGACCATAGTCAGGAGGATAATCGGTGATAGTAGGCAGCTGCTTTGTCTTACTACTTCCTGTCTTCATTTCAAAGGCGTCACTGGGCTTTCCATTGTCAATCACTTGTCATGCAGCGTCGTCAGATACCTGTTGAATCAGGTTGATAAGGGTTTCTTGCACTGAAACCGTAGTGTATAATCAGCTGTCAAATTACTTCTTGGTTGACACTGTCGAATTCCTTTTCAAAGTCGATGAAGTTGAGGTGAAGAGTTGACTGCAATTCTATACTCTGTTCTATGATGATGTGTAGTGTATCGTTGAACTTTGATTGGTACATGATTTGTTCTTCGTGAGGCTGGCCAGTCAGCCTGTTCTGGTTGAAATTTTGAATCCAGAGCATCGTTTAGTCTCTGTAGGATGATGTGGCTCAATGTTTTGCTTGGAGTGGACAAGGATGGAGCATGATTCTGCTCCACTTCTTGTTTTTGTAAAGACTTAGGTCTCCCTTGTTTTGGAGTTTGATAAGTTGGCCGTTTTTCCAATCAATCGGCACCTAGCTTTCCTTCCTTCCTTCTAAGCCTTCTGTAGTAGTGGTGTGAGCATGTCCGCTGATGTCTGTGTGTCTGTTTTCATTGCTTCTGGATGAATTCCATATTGTCCTGCTTATTTCCCAGGTTTCAATATCCTTATGGCGTTCGGGATTTCTGGTTTTGTCAGTGGGTTTGTAGTCACTGACTGTTCTGTGCATAGGCTGCTGGTGGTATTTCTGGACGAGTTGCAGTTGGCGGTCGATTCGGGAGTTTTGAGTGGGATAGGGTGAAAGTACTAAAATCCAATACAGCTTGTTAGAGGGAGATATTGGTCAGAGAATCTTCATTCATACCATAGAAATGATACATCACATGTTGGAGATATCTGGGAAATTTATGATTATTAAGAGTAATGAATAAAGAAACCGATCAGTTAGGTCCGCTCAACGATGGGCAAATACAAGCAACAACATTAAATCTATACTCGTCACACAAGAAGTGACTATCGTGGCTCGGTGGCTTGGTGGATGACGTTCTGACGTTTGAAGAGATCGGTCCTGAAGTTCAGTCTTAGCAGGAACAACATTGCTCACTGAAGGGTAGCTACATCCATCTGATGGGTTTGGAGTAGGATGAAATAGGTGTCAAGCTGGATTCCACCGTTAGCCATTATCCATCATTAATACATGAATTAAGAACTTTTGAACTATGTAAACGAAGCTTGCGGTACATAAACTTGCTTTGATATAAATATGGGCAATGAATTCTGTTCAGAATATCATCCAGTAATTTTTACACTTTGACCGATTCATGAGGTGATAAAAATCCCTTCCGCAGCTTACTAGGGTACAACATCAGAGGTCAATAAAAACACTATCTAAATATTTGGATCTTATTCAGATCCAGTAACATTTTAAAATTGAAAGTCATGTTTTTATTCAATGCTGTGAACACTTTGTTGCATAATTTTGATTTGAAATCCAAGATACCATTGAACAGGCTCTCTACTTCTGGCTGTATAGCTGTGTTGGGTGTTCAAACGTAATTATTAGCTTGACTTTGCCCTGATTGGTCGATGAGTATGAGTATAGACATGTGGTGAACCTGATTGGTTGACATTTAGCCTTTGATTTTCCAAGTCGGATGCGTAGGTGTTTTACTCCTTTTATTTCTTTACAGTATACTGATTTAGGACGCCCGTTTGATCCCATTTGAGGCTTGTCAGATGGATGTATCTACCTCTTAGTGTTGTACTTCGGAGTGAAACTTAAACCCAGTATTCATCGTTCAAACGTCGGAGAGATATTCACTAGGCTAGTGGATAACGACAGCAGCTCTATGTTCCATAGAGATTCTCGTTGTTCATTGGTCTAGACCGAAGTGATCGTTTAATCAAATTCATGGACATTCCACTGATCTGATTGGTTAACATTTTGATTTCACTTAAGTGCTCAAGATTGGTTTATTATGATTGGTTGACTCTTCTGCACTGGAAATAGGATGCTATGTGCTGATTGGTTGATGTACTTTAGCTAATTCTACTTGGTTGATACATAGACAAATCATCTTTTGAACTTCTCGTTTACGCAGAATGACGAGTAGTAGTAATAAAGTTTTATACTGATGTTTATGTTTTCATTAACAACTGTGTTTATTATTTATGATTGATACCTGTTACTTCTTTTATAGTACTCATATAATTCAGCATCAAACCCATAGTACATCTATCTGTTTAAAAGATCTAACTGAAGGAACAAAATATAAATTCTGCATTATAGAAGCATCTTATGCATGCAGAAGTTCATCTTGGAATTGTATAATTAAAACAATCCCTATACTTAGAAAGCATTTCTCTATTTCATCATTCTCATTGTTGGCTAAAAATTCATCTGAATCACAGTCTATATCAATGAGAAGTAGAAATCTTCGTATCAATAGTTGGGGTAGTGATTGGATACAAATTTCATGGTCACCATTATCGCATATATCATTTTGGAGAGTAAATGATCTACCTTTGGCTTATTTAATTACTGCTGTTTCAAAGTCAAGAAGTACTAACTGTTATGATCGAATCTACAGTATTCAAGCACCGTGGGTAAGTTACCTGTTCAGTTATACAATGATACAAAATGAAGTGATTCTGATCATTTCGACGTTATTTGGTTGGTGTTGGCTAGCAGGAAAATCTATGACAAGCGTTTCATCCCATGTGAAACTCATCAGCTGAATGTCTCTCCTTTCCAACAGGGTCCGAGCCCAGACGCTAGAATATCATCTTCCCAGCTTCCTAGCCATGAAAACTATCCATCATGTAAAGGGTACCGTTTGTGATTGATTAATACTTTTAATTTCTGGTTCATTATAACAGTCTATTGAATCGACTTATCTCTGCTGGCATATGACCTCGTTGAATACAAGCTTCAGTATTGCCTGAAGTTTCGTTTTATTGGTAATTTTTTGTTTGTGACTATCACTGGACAAGTATCAATGAATACTCTTGATAAAGATTACATCATCGTGAAAGGTATCAAAGATAAAAGCATGAACTAAAAGTCATTATCATTAAGAGGCTTTCAACTGATGGTCTAAAGGTTGTCCACCAGGCGTCCTGTGACCTAAAACACTCAACTATCAACCGAATGTTAACATAAGTCATCGACGGTTTTAGCCAACTACCATGTGAATTCCAGACACGTCATTGTTGGTAAATTGTAATGACATTAGCCTCTGAAACTGATAGATACGAGAATGGTATTTAATTTTGGGGTTTGCAGAGATTTAGAAATTTTTCAAGTTGGAGAAACATTGGAAACCTGGGAGCACTGGACAGCCGTTGCGTCCCGGTGTGGGACTCCTCAGCAGCGGGAAACGGTGACCCCACTCCACCACTGATCGAATACAACACATTCAGGTTTCGTGGCCATTACTTTACCATTGAGCTATCCAGTAGGTCGGGATCCGATGGTCCATATTTCCAAATTCTGTCAGTTCACCACATATCGTGACCATGACCCAATGTCATCGTTGAGTATTTGTCCTTAGGGTCACCAGATTTGCTCCAACGGTCACGCGTCATGAGTGCGCATTGTTGAGGAGTCCCATACTATGACGAAGCACCTGTCCAGTGTTCCAGCCTTTCCAGTCTTCCTCCAATTGATATCAATCCATGGTGAACATCAACTTGAAAAACCACTAAATCCGCACAAATCCCCAAATTAAACTAATGTGATGCTCGTAGGTGACTACCTTCGAGAGGTGATTCCTGAAGTTCCAATTAGAACTCGTGACCGATGGTGACCGTGAGGACAAATACTCAACGATGATATTGAGTGGTGGTTGCACCATGTCTTAAACTGACAAAAATTGGAAATATGGACCATCGGATCCCAACCCTGTGGCTTAGTCGTAACGTGGTGGCCACAAAAACTGGAGGTCCCGGGTCCGATCCCTGGCAGCACGAGGTTATACGTGCTCACTGCTGAGGAGTCCCATACTAGGATGAAACAGATAGTTGTCCAATACTCTCAGGCTTCCAATGTTCCTCTAACTGTTGTCAGTCCATTATGAATATCAACTTGGAGATGACACTGTTAAACAGATTGACAATTATCAAAGATTTACAGTAACATTTCTTGAATGTTGATCATTTTTGTTTAAATTGTTCAAATTTTCTAACTCACTTTTAGGCGCATGATTTCAATTCAAATTTAGCTTCTTCTGTGAATGAAATACATCATGATATTGCTTCACAGTGTTCACTCAATGAAATATATAAAAAAATAAATATTTTAGGAAATATTTGGCCAGAATGGAATACTTTTATAAATTATCAAAATGGTATTGATGAATTAGGTTCAGTAATGAATGAATTTATCGTCAATTTGGAACATCTTACACCTCATGAAGAGTATACAATAAAACTGCAACCGATTTTTGAAAAGTATAATGGTGTTATTGAAACTGTTGTGGCTGAAAAATGTAAGTTTTTATGCAAAACTACTTCTCACATCAGTTTATCTTCTCATGTCTATAAAACAGTATCATAAGAGGTAAGCATTACCTGGGAATTAGGATCAGCCCTGATAGCTCAGAGTCCGATGAAATCTCTGCACGAATACAAAAGGCTCTGCTGGCTTTCGGCAATTTATGCCACCCATGGTGCCGCCATGATATCCGATTGTCTATCAAAGGTTGCGTGTACTGCACTACAGTCCCCTCTCTTCTACTGTATGGCTATGAAACATGACCATTAAAGATGGAAGACATGAGAAGGCTGGCTCCTTGTGTTTGACCACCGTTGACTTCAGAGTATAGGCCGTATTCCGTGGTATCACCACGTGGGTAATGCAGAAGTCAGGTGTAGAGTTTTATGGAGAGAGGAGAGGTAAATCAGTTGATGAGGTTATGAACCTTGATCGACTGAGATAGCTGGTTGGGACACGTACTACGTATGTCTAGTCACCAACTGCCTCATCACATAATGTTGGCTGAAGTAGGTGTAGGCTGGAGAAAGGCCCGAGGTGGCTAGACTGAAACATGGCACCGATGTATGAAGTCTCTGACTGTTTGTTTGAGCCATGTGGGGTGATGCATACTAGGTGGTTTGGGTTGGTAGGACAAGAGGAACCAGTGGCTGGAGACTCTGAGGGATATGGCTGAGAAGCAATGTTTGTGGAGCAGATGTATCCACACACACATTATCCTCATGTTAACGACGCTATACCGAACCTCACCATTTTGTCATTCTTCCTTTCTTTCTTCTAGTAGTCTATGTTTCTCTTGACTGAATTTTCTTATATTCATCTTGTGCCTCACTACCTTTTTACTTGATGTGGTGATATTAGCTGTGGTAACTTGGACCGTTACGTAGTGATGCCTAGTCCTATGTTGATATTGATAATGATGAAGCATTGACGCCTTTTCTAGAATGATAGACTGACTTTTGTTCAATGATAAAACAAGGATACTGTCTATATTTCAACTTTAGAATAATATAGCTGTGGTCACATGATTATCTAATTCACTTAAAACTCTGACTTCCTATTTGATTCACTAAGCATACAATGAATGACTTCAAGGGGAGTTTTAGCAAGGACTGAAATAGCCAATCAGATTCCCGTATTAAGGTTGGAATCTTATGTTTTGCGTGAAATACAGAACTGTAATTGCTTAGTTCAGTAGTTGTCAGGGTGACCTTCAGAGTCACCTCAAGCAATTCCTACTCATATTTGATGAATTCATCCATGGGTTGATTACGCTATCTGTTAAACTTTTTCACCTTATAACTTGTAAAAAGTGGAGGAAAAAAACTGACACTTAGTCAATTATCACCTTGTATCTTGGCAAAGTTCATTGATCCAACTAACCGATGAAATGAAGGAGTCATAAAAATTCTTTGGAAAGATTTTCATCACCGCTCTATTTTCAAAGTCCTTTCTGAGCTATTGATGTAAGTGGCTGCTAAAATCTCGTAGGCGATATACGGTGGCATGGGAGCTTCGTACGAGCAGATTTTCCACTGTTAGTAATGAAAGTTTGTTTATAGAGAAGTTTTTCTTGACGGCTCATATGGCTCTTACTAACATAAAGTCGGCTATTGAAAAATAAAACATGCTGATATTCTTTTACTTCAAAGTGCGAAGCTTTTGTTGTGGGTTTGATGTTCAAAACACGGCCAGCTAACGAACAGAGGAGAATGTCAAGTAAGATATGTATGTTACTGTTATTATTATTAACTACTTAGTAAGGGTTTCTGTAAACTGAAATGGTGGAGAATATTTGCAGCTCAGGTGGATGGTCTTTGTTGTATCCTGTTCACTGAGATGGGTTGTTTATTCCTGGAACTTTCATCGTCTTGCTGGACAACATCCTCCAAAGCACTAACTTCACTATGAAGTCAGGGATTAGTTTATGATTGGTTGTTTCTTTTGATTGTTGCGTCATTGATTGATTGCATGGATTTTCTTGTTCACTGTTGTTCTGTTTCACCTTCCTATCGTTTATCATTTTCCTCATTGGTTGACAGATTGCTGACTGATATGATTGCCAAGCTTCTAAGAATTCTGTAATGTTTTCTGTCTTTCCTCTCACCATTCAACATTTCCACACTGTCGAAATTGAATTCATGTCCACATTATTATCCACGTGTATCAGAATGAGTGATGAAATGTCGTATATGACATCGAATAGCCAATCGGTGTTTATGTAGACAAAGGTGAAGAGGGTGGCCACTTTGTCCAATGTAGTGTTGACTGCAGTTATTGAAGTTGATTTTATGAATGATGTTCGCTTTATCTTCCTCTGGTTGCTGCGTTCTTTGGTGTGCATAATAGTGTTTGGAGGGAATTTATTGATTTATGAGCCACACTAATTCCAAGGGTTTCAGTAATCTTTTCGTGATTTCTGACGTGTTCTTTATGTATGGTAGGATGATGCATTTATTGATTTCTATGGATGACTTTGTAGTTGATGATGTAGGGTATAGGAATCTTTTGATACAGTTTCGTGAGTAGCCGTTCTTCTTTATGATAGATGACTCAGCTCAGATAACACAATGCAACCAAGTTTCTGTGAACTGTGAGGCTATAAGGTAGTCTTGAACACGTAGCCATGAGTTCAGTCCTATGCCTCTTTCGATAACAGCTCATGGATGAGGCGGTTTCTTTCCTGTTCCAGGTAGGCATCATTTCACATTTTCCAGCATATCATGACTATGCTTGGAAGACGAACTCATGTACATGATATTCTCACATTCCATTTTCTCACTCAATCCTACTACATTAAATCTTACGAAATACAGGAAACTTTTCCAAGTTTTTATTACATGCGGAATCTTTATGTAGCAAGGCAACATGTAGGATTGTTGAAGAAAACCAACTGGAATGCTTCTTCCTTTTTCTTCACTTTGATCGACTGCATTTATTGCAAATATTCTTGACGCAATTGGATTCGGTAGCATATACGGTACTAACAAGGAGAATGTATTTCTCTACTAACTTGTCGCCGTAAATATTCATTTGTTGGTAATAATGGCTGCATTTGCTTTCCTTCGAAGGAAGATGACGATGATAATTTCCTTATCTTTTCAAAGAACCAAGGATGAAATATATTCATTAATGCTTTTCTACTGATGACTCTTCATCAATGGCATCAACAATACTCTAGTTTTACCTCCAAGCCTATGAAATTACAGAATTCTTTCCAATTGCAAAAATAATATAACCTTATCGTAGACTACATTGCAAACTTAACAACCATTACAATAAGGAGAAAACGTCTTCCACTGATGTTTCATGTAACCGTAACAAGTTTTCCCGCGTTTTCATCTCAAAATTATTTACTTCTCTATGGTAACTGTTTACAAAAGCGATTGAAGTGAGTGGAATGTTATGTATTACACAAATAACTTGCCTAAACAAATTACTAGTTAAGTATAATATATATATATATATATATATATATATATATATATATATATATCAATGATAAATTTGTGAACTGTTATATGCAATAATAAAATCTTACTTATCAATTAATAGATTAGTTTAGTGTCTAAGGTGATTTTATTGCTAGTTAGTATTCATCTGGGAATGAAATCAACAGGAAACTTTAGACTAGAGGAATCCGACGTCTTGGTCCAATGGCAACGCATTTATGGCGAGATATGGAGGTACTAAGTTCGATTCGTGGTATGGTCATAGATGTGTACTAACTATTGAGGAGCTTCATAATAGGACGGAACACCTGTTCTGTGCTATCAGATTTTCTATGTTTTTTCAGCTGATGTCGGTCTGTGATGAATACTAGGATGATGTAGATAATCATTTTTCCTCTTGTTAACAATATTTCAAAACATTTTTCTAACTTTTCCATATATCCAACATCTTTTATTAAAGCAATTATGGATAGTGGTTAGCAGTGGAATTCAGGGTGCACATTTCGCCCTATTTTGAACTCGTCAGCTGAGTGTACCTGCACCCCAGTGCGCGGCATTGTTCCCACTGAAACTCGAACCTCGTACCCATCGCTGCAAATGCCGAAGTGTTGACCACTATGCCCCGAAGGTACGATAGCTACTTCTTGAGCGATAGGTATAGTTTTTAGTATTCATGTTTCTATACTATACCCGTTACACTAGGAGTGTCTGTCTTGGCTCGGTGGTGTAGTGGATAACGCCCTGCTATTTGAAGCGGTCGCTCCGGAGTTCGAATTCCAGCGGGAACAACACCACCCACTGGGAGTCTGGTACATCTGGTTGATGAGTCCAAAGTATGACGAAATTCGCATTCTGGATTCCACTACTAACCACTATCCATCATTAATATAATTAATACACAGGTAATATCGAGACATCCGTACAGGAGCCCATATTACAACAGAGACCTATCAATGACGGTATAATACAAACGTTGTATTAATTTTCCATTTTCTGGTTTCCCTTGTTAAAGCACATAATCATGGTGAAGGTGTAACCGTATTACGAAAGTAATAGTAAGACCATTGATCAAGTTTTCTACGAAACGAAAAGCGGTACCAAAACATAAATACGCAACGTAGCCCCAGTTTCCTTTAACTACTTCGATGAAGTGGATATATAGTTGATTGGCTTACGAAGCTGATTATCAAATATTAAGTGGCGATTTCAAATACCGCCTTACGATTGTGTAGAAGGTTGGTGAGTAGACTTCAATTTTCAACCCTTGACAGATAAACAGGCAGCTTATTTCTAATGTCAGCTTATTATTTGCCTATAGAGTGTTGAAGAACGATTTTTCTACATCTTATAGACTTCACTGTCTTTGCCACTTAAACACAATCAATACTGACTGGACATTAAAAACACTTAAATCAGCTAATTACTAAGTTCTTTGGAAACAAACCAGCCAAGAACCTATCACCTAAAAAATATGCAGGAGAAAGTGGGGATGGATTGAGCATATATTGAGAAGGCCAACTGGGGACATCACAAGTCAGGCCCTCTAGCGGAACCCAAAAGGGAAATGACGAGTTGGGCGTCTCAGTTGCGGGTGACAAGAGGAGATCGTGTGAAGAAGAAATAAAATGTTGTGGGCACTCGTGGCGCCAGGTTAAACGAGAAGACTGAAGAGAACAGAGTACAATGGAGGCGTGCTACCGAAGCCCTATGTTACACTAGGAAACCAAGGGGAAAACAACCGTAACAATAATTACTGAATCATTATAGTTTATGCAGGAAATGATTGAACATAGTCATGCTTACGCTTCATTCGCTTTTTGGATGACGCTGTAATGTCTGAAGAGAAGGGGATTGGGTTTAAGCCTCGATAAGAATAACATCACTCATGAAGTTGCAGGTACATCCAGCTGGGGAGTCCCGCATAAGACAGAACGCGTATTCCGGATTCCTCTGCTAGTCATCAAGATTATAGTAACTTTGATTCCACTTTATGTGAAAAGATTCGATTATTAGATGTTCCTTATAAGTTCTAAAGACTTTTTGAATAATTTCCATATTTTCACAATCGACTTTATGATCTGAAATTATAACTTGTAGACTAGCTACGGCTGAATTTCTTCCTATCTATACACAACTAGATTGTGAATTCAAAAGGATCTTATCCTTCAAGTGGACTATGGTGTTCTGTAATGTGTTTGCTTTTCTGTAGAACACTCCTAACACAACTCAGAGTATCTTATTCCATTTGAATAATGAGATCCCTCTGGATTCACAATCTAATTGTGTTTATAAGATAAACTACTCAGACTGTAATACAGCATACATACGACAGATTTCCTGTGAAATAAAATTTAGAGGGAATGAATACTACAGACTAACTTTAACTAATTGAACTTGATACACAGACTTTTATTCTTCATTTTATAGTGAATCCATTGTCAGACTGTAAATTAAGTCTTGATGAAACAAATCAAAATGAAATCACTATTCATTGGATCCTACCATCTTTGCTGAAAACAAAGTTGTCAGATAACAATAATCCTCTAGTGTACATAATTCAAATTTCTCATATTGGTAGACCAGAAAAGAAACTGGAAGAGACATGCTTCATGCCTGGTTGCCAAGACGTAAGTTGACAAACTGTCTAAATGATGATTGATATGCCCTGTAATATGGTGTATAATAGAGATAAATTCCTTAAATTCAGCGTGCTTTGTTTTTTATATTTCATATCGGTTTGATAAGCAGATTTTATCTACTATTATTATTGTTTGTCCCTTGAGTTCCTAGTAGAATATAGGGCTTCACTAACACACAGCCATTCCACTGTCTTCTCTGTAGTCTCTTCAACCTCGCTCCACCACTGCCCACAAGCCTCCATTTCTTCCTCACACCATCTCCTCCATCTCCATCTCACCTTCAAACACCAAACTGGTCGCTTCCCATGACGGTTCCATTCAAGAACCCGGCCTGGTGTTTGGTATCGCCAAACCATCTTTTCAGTCTATCTCCAGTCTAATCCAATCCATCTCCACTTTCTTCTGCATAGTCGTTGGGCAATGGGTTGTTGGTTGGTTGCTTCGTTGCCAGAATGAGTTCCTCTTTGTTTATTCTTATTATTCTAACCATCTGACCTCCATAATCAGTATCGAGTGAGCGTAGGCTATAGCTGTTGATGTATGTCTGTAGTTTGTTTGAAATGCTTTCCGTAAGGCGCCGCCAAATCTCTCAACCATCACATAGAAACAAGCACTAAATTAGCTGACTTAGTGTTGAAAATACAGATCCCGTTCACGCTTTATGCCAAACAAGTTGACTCGCCTTAGTAACACACCATAATAAAGGATAGTGATATACTATTGGTGGAAAGTGACTAGCAGTGGAATTCATGAAGGGCGTTTCGTCCTGCTTAGGATTCATCAGCTACATACATACCTGCTTCCCAGTGAGCGATGTTGTTCCCACTAGGACTCACACTCGAAAAGGATCTATTCAAATAGCGGAGCATTATCCACCAGACCACTGAGTCACGACAGCCACTTCTTGTGGGACGGGTATAGTTTTATTTATCTACAAGCAACAAAATTAGTGGTGATATCCTATTATATTATCAAGTATATTAATTTACTTTTACAATTTATACTACTATCAGTAGCTTGTTGGTTTAACCTGAAATTTGCTGATTAGTTGAATTGTATTCACATGATTTTTTATTCATAATCTCATATTCACAATCATTATCAACCTATTTCGTCATCCAGTATATATTCAGTCACATTTGATCTCATCTACCTATAGCCTGTATCAATACGTTACGATGGTATGTGAAATTTGCTTTCTGGGTTCCTTTGGTAGCCAATATCAAAAACTTATAAGATAATGAATCTTCAGACAGTATCAGGGCATCCGTGTAGGTGCCCACATGCCAACAGATCCAGTAGGGTAAGGGGAAATTAGAAGTACAAATAAGTAGCAGTTGACAACCATAGTACATACACACAGTGAAAAGTACTAACCACTAGAGGATTTTATTGAACAGAGGTGAATAAAAAGTTGACCGATAACTGTTATCATAAAATATGGGAGTCTTATTGATGATCACATTTTTCAGCCCTTAATACCGTACAACTTAATGAAGAGATAACAGATCTACCCATCTACCTAGGTAGCATCGTTTCAAATTCAGGCGGAGGCAGAGGCATAGATGAAGATATCAGAGCCAGCCAGGATCGGAAAAACAACAAGACCGGCCTTCCTACATTAATATGAAATCAGTGTGAAATGGCTATGTGTTAGTGAAGCCCTATATTCTACCAGGAACTCAAAGAACAAATAATATCTATGTATAGACAGATGGATTTTAGGTTTCCTGACTCATTTAATCATCACCTGATTTCCTCATGTACACACTCATGAAATGAGAAGAATATCCATTTGCTTACGAGCAAACCTTCCTGTTTCGTTGTAAACTCTTTGTACTATGACTAAAAAATTAGGACAGATTTAATTGATTAGAAATATGTTTGAAACTTTGGAGTGTATGTACTTTGTGTGTTCAGATACAAACCTTTACGTATGTTAATTGCTTAAAATTATATTCACAATAACTGGTCATTATCTATGAAACAAAATCACGGTAATGACTTGAACAAAGTAGATGACCACTTATTAGTTGATTAGTGGAAATAGCATCTTGTCATCTGTGACTTTCAGGAAACCGATGTCCCGTAAGAAGTTCTCTAACCCGTATTACCTAGGAAAGCAGTCAACGATGTTACCATTCATTTATTCGGATAGTTAAGTCAAGACGGGAGTAAGACAAGGATGTCTACTAGCACCAATAATATTCCTGATTGTGATGGACCAGATCATGCAACAAACGCTGAGGAGTGAGAAGAGGGGGATACGCTGGATAGGGGAGGAGATTGTAAAAGATTCGGATTTCGCCCATCATGATTTATATCGAATGTCACACAAACTAGAAGATCTATAGGCGAAAGCTAACAAGTTGACAGAAGAGGCAGAGTAGCGAAGGAGGAGGGCACTTCAAGTGAAAGTTGAGAAGACAGAGATGATGATAATATTCAAGCAACACCACCACTAACAACAACAACAAGCTCTAATCACCATTATATTGGGAGAAACTTGTAGGAAGTAGTGTCTTTCACCTACCAACTAGGCAGCACTGTTTCAACTACACGTGGTGGCACAGATGAGGATACTAGAGCCAACCACGATCGGAAAGACAGCAAGACAGGCCTTCGTGCATTAATCTGAAACCAGTGTGGAGATGTACTGCACTGCACTGCACTGCACTCAGCACAAAGCGTGAACAACATCCGGATTTTCAACACCAACCAATCCAGTCAAGTCAGTGGTTTTTTGTGATGGTTGAGAGACTTGGTGTGTTACGAAAAGCATTTCCAACAAACTACAGACATTCACGAACAACTGCTGACGCTGGCTCGTCATTGAAGCCCAGATGGCCAGAATAATAAAAATAAGCAACAAGGGACTCTGGCTGGCTGGTAACGATCAAACAAAACAAGAAGCTATCGCTCAACAATTATGCAGTGGAAGGAAGTGGAGACGGATTGTGCATACACTGAGAAGACGGACTGGGGACATCACGCGCCAGGTCAGATCAGGCACTCGAGTGGAACCTGCAAGGGAAACGACGAGTTGGTCGTCTGTGGTGAGGGTGGCACTGAGGAGATTGTGTGAGGAAGAAATGAGAGTTTGTGGCCAGTGGTGGATCCAGGTTGAAAAGATTGTAGAGCTGAGAGTGTAATGGAGACGTTCTACTGAAGCGGTGTGTTCTATTAGGAACCCAAGGGATAAATTATAATAATAATAATAATAATAACTTTGGATAGTGACTGGTTTCTTGCAGGACTAAATTAGGTTAGTCGATTAATTAGCAGAGAATAGCCAGTTTCATGTTGTCTAGTCTTGAATATTTACCAAACTCTATCGATTACTTTAAAATGGAAGTATCAGACTAGGAAGGAGATTATTATGATGCACTTTTGATAGGTACTGGTTAGTTAAAAGCAAATCACCAAGACACCTCGCCTATCTAATATATTCAATCATATTTGATTTCATCTACTCATAGTCTTTATCTACCCATTAAACCGATTATAGTGGATTGACGTTAACTGATTTTGAGTTTTCCTGCTTAGAATTCTGAAACTTTGATAATATTAACGATGGATAGTGGCTAACTGAGGAATCCAGGACGTGGACTTCATCATACTTTGAAGTTGCGGGTTGATGGAACCTGCCTCTAAGCGAATAATGTTATTCCCAGTAAGACTATACGACCCAGGACCGTGTAGTAATGAACTTCAATCGTTGCTAACGTCTTCTAATTAAATCGGTAAAAAGCCGCTTAACTGGAATAAAAATGTTTGATCTCCGGCGGAAGCGTCATGAAGTGAATAAACATACAATGAACGGTATGAGCAGTTAGAAGCAATGCATGCTAATCTGTCACTCCAGGTCAGTTACCCTGATTCGGTTGGTGTAAGCAATTTGGCTCTATGAGCTGAATTTTTGTGAGTACACTGCTGATGGTGACTTTGACCCCAGACGAGAGAAATGCTCGTCCATTGATCAGCGTGGTTGGTTTCCAACTACTCATATTCTGTTGTAGTAGTAGTATAAGTCATCTTCCAATCAAAACTTAGAGTATTGCACTGACTGTAAATATTCAAATTTACTAAGTTTATTCATTTGAAGAAGCTTTTGGCTGGTCATTTTTTATAACACAGATATTACTTTACTTAAGTAGTGATCATTGTGACCACTGAACTAAACAAATAGCAAACCCATGTCCAAAATAAACCAAGGTCGAAAAATGTAAGATAGATGGCTTGGGAAACAAAAAATGCTTTGAAAGAGACAGGTAACGAAGTTAACAACTGAAAGGAGCACAGTACAGTCAATAATGGGAAAGATACCGATATAGTGGAATGATAGGTTGAAAATAATACGATTTTAACGGAGCTGAACATCGACAATTGAGCATGATATGATATTATGAAGGAATAAGTTGTGCTACTTACTATTTATAAGTAGTATAAATCTAAAAGCACAAAAGAGTCGAGGTGATGAAGTATGAAATAAGTCCGCGGATAAAAATATCTTTATCGAAGCTTTGTAACGGAAGCAAGTGTATCTGTGAATTTGTTCTGATTCTTCGCTTATGTTCAGTATTTGTTTTTTGCAATACAGGATAGGTCGTCAACCACTTTAAATTTCTTACCTCAAATGATTTATGAAACTCAACGCTTAAACTGTTACACAACTGAAATACCTTTCAAACAGAATTCAAGTTTCACTATACCTTGTAAACTATTGCCGTGTAAAGTGTATGAGATTTCTGTGAGTATTCTACACCAATATACAATTATGAAAGAATTTCAATGTAAACGTCGTTTCATGAAAAATGCATCACGTAAGCTGTACAGTTGTGTTTGAGTAACTAGAATCATAAATTTTGTTATGTTCACCTATTTTGTCACTGAAAACTTCAAATGACTCAGTATGTACAGTGGAATGGTATTATTTATTGGATACGGTTTGGGACATTATTTATTGCTAGAGTAGTCCTGAGATTTGCTCTCTCATTGTCATAGTTGAGACAAAAATTAGCTACTTTAAAGGTTAACATACAGGCAGCTGAAGTAACCAATCAGGTTTCTCGATTTCAGCGGAAAAGCAGCTTTTCATAAAATACATAAACTTGATTGGTCATTTCAATAATTGTCTATGTGACCTTGAAAATCGCTAGATATCTGAAGTGAGTGGTGTGAAAGGCTATCCTATCAATTATGAAACAATCAGTTTCTGTATTTTTGTCGGACAATTAGCTTTTTCATAAACCGGGGAAACCTGATTGCTTATTTTAGGGGTTCCTAAGGTAGCCATCATGGTCATTCATCTGGAACAATTGCTAGGTCACTCCTATTGCATTGATTCGCAAAAAATCTATGGATAAAGTTGAATAAATCGACTACTCATATCAGAAAGAAGGAGAGAAAAGTGAGTACTATATGAATCATGTGCTAAACTTATGGAGTTTCCGTGACATGATTAATGGCAGTTAATTGTGCCCGAAAGGTTATCTGGAGAATAATACCTTTTCACTGTATCTGATGCATCTAATAAAAAGACTAAACTGGAATTAGAATCTACCACAGAGCTCAAGTTTTACTCCTCCTTTAATGGAGCAGATGGTGTTCCTGTCCAACGAATAGTCAACAAACTCACACTGCCCAACTAGGTTAGTGGTAACGTCAATGATTGGTAGGCGTTCGAGTCCCTGGTTAGACGTCAGTTTACTCCAAGTTCCAATATACCTTGTGGACAGCTGTCAACAAGCATGGAACGTAGACCAGAGATGTCCTGGTGACTGCCTCCAACTAAAAAGTTATCCATCAAAGTGTACAGCGATGATGAACCTCTCAACTTGGTAACTACATTACAACAAACGATGGGATGTGTTCAGTGCGCATGATTAGACAAGATGGGATTGTTTACTCTCCAGTGGTCAATCAGTGTATCATAAGACTTTCGCACCTAGAAGACGGATATGCAAATGAAAGCATTTTATCACCAAAAGAGAGAATTAGAACTATATATACTCTATATCGAAGATATGAAGTTACCTAATATGAGTATGGACGAAATATTGTGTGATATTTCTAATGAATCAACTAAAACGGACATTTTACGTGGAGTTACTTTAGAGGCCTCTCTAGTAACTGATGAACAGACCAATAAGGCTTCCGTATTTCGCCTGGAAAATTACTTTTCCATAAAATAAAGGAATGTAAATGGCTGTCTCATCGGTTGTTAGAGTGGTCCTTAAAGTCGTCCTTCGTGACAATCTATATTCCAAGCTGAAATACTGAGATCTGATTGGTTATTTCGGCAGTTTCTAAGGCGGTCTTCAAAGTAACTTGATCCAACTACTACTAACTTTACACCAACTAACTCAATAAGAAAACAAAGTTAGATAGCTAGCCTATACAATCCACAATTAGGTTGTGTATAGCCAAGACACATAGGAAGTGTAGGTGGCGTTAAAGGCCGTAGGTGGTGTTATCAGGATGTCAACCAATGAGAAGAAAGAAAAACAGGTGAGAGACATTTCTGATTGGTCGGTTACTGGTGTCCTTCTTTCTATATAAGGATGCAGCAAGTCTGATGATAACTGTATAGTGTTCGACAAAGACATGTCATTATTAGTGTGTGAACTGCATATATTTAATAATTACTTCTGTGACAAAGCTATGAAAGATTTTGAGAGATTCAAATCTTAATCATGAGATTCGGATACCTATGGCTGTAGATGTTAGACAGTTTTAGGGCTACAGCTTAGAATATCCCTCTTGGATTTCAACATCGCTTGACATCAAGAGGAAGTATCAATTACACTGAGTTCACTCTGCTGTGTACTCAACATATGTTTTCATCAGCCTTCATAGTTGTTTGTCATTATCTCTTCAAATCATTCTACATGTATTGACACTTAGAAGTTCTTGTTCTCTTCCTCTTTTTCTTATTCCATGGGTGGGTAGCCATTAGATGAGTGTATTCCTTTTTATGGATAGTTAAAAAAATAACATTCCTTCAGTGTCTTACTGGTTTTCGATTGGTTTAACGACACGTGAAACCGAACTCGACAATAGTTCAGTAATTAGATTCATCATTATCGATAAGTTATTAGTGTACCGTTCATTCATATCATTATACTTGATACAGTAAACTTTCTAGTGTAAACATTGATTGACTTCATTATCAAAACGTTTATCATTTGAACTTTGACTAGGTTTTCATTACATTTCATGCATAAATTAGGATTGAATTGGCATGTTGAAAATTTGATCAGTTTACTAATTTTTACAAGTGATTTCTACCAACATAAGATTAAAGAAAGGCCACTACTTGCAGACTTTCTTCTGCTAATTTCCATGAAAATTTGAAGTTCAGTTCCACTCTTTGCAAGAACTGGTAAAAAATCATGCTCCTATCCACCCCAAGCAAAATATTATGCCCCATCATCTTGGAGAGACTAACGGTTGCGCTGGATTCAAGACTACAACCGGAACAGGCTGCCTGGATTCAGGAAGTACAAATCATGTGCCGACCAAAATACAACGCTACGCATCATCACAGAACAGAGAATTGAATGGCACTCAACTCTCTACGTCAACTTCATCAACTTTGAAAAAGCCTTCGACAGCGTCGACCGAGAAGTAATTTAGCAGGCAAATGCTTCAACACTACGGTTCTAGTGCCACAAACCTTCATCAACCTCATTCAACAGCAGCTATATGACGACGCTACATGCCAAGTGATCCACAATGGAAAGCTCAATGACGCCCTTGAAGTGAAGACAGGAGTAAGACGAGGCTGTCTACTATCACCTATGATCTTCCTGATTGTGATGGACTAGATCATGCAACAAACGGTGAGGAGCGAGAAGAGGGGGATACGCTGGATAGGGGAGAAGATCGTAAAAGATTCGGATTTCGCCCATCATGATTTATATCGAATGTCATACAAACTCGACGATCTATAGGCGAAAACTAACAAGTTGACAAAAGAGACAAGGCAGAGAAGGAGGACGGCACTTCAAGTGAACGTTGAGAAGACAGAGATGATGATAATATTCAAGCAACACCACCACCAGCAACAACAACAAGCTCCAATCACCACTATATTGGGAGAAACTTGAAGGAAGTAGTCTCTTTCACCTACCAACTAGGCAGCACTGTTTCAACTACACGTGGTGGCACAGATGAGGATACTAGAGCCAACCACGATCGAAAAGACAGCAAGACAGGCCTTCGTGCATTAATCTGAAACCAGTGTGGAGATCTACTGCACTGCACTGCACTCAGCACAAAGCGTGAACAACATCCGGATTTTCAACACCAACCAATCCAGTCAAGTCAGTGGTTTTTTGTGATGGTTGAGAGACTTGGTGTGTTACGAAAAGCATTTCCAACAAACTACAGACATTCACGAACAACTGCTGATGCTGGCTGGTTACTGAAGATGAGATCAGATGGCCAGAATAATGAGAATGAGCAACGGGGAGCTCATTCTGGCAACGAACCAACAAAGCAAGAAGCTATCACTGGAGAAATATGCAGTGGAAGGAAGTGGAGATGGATTGTGCATACACTGAGAAGACGGACTGGGGACATCACGCGCCACGTTAGATCAGGCACTCGAGTGGAACCTGCAAGGGAAACGACGAGTCGGTCGTCTGAGGTGAGAGTGACATGGAGGAGATTGTGTGAGGAAGAAATGAGAGTTTGTGGCCAGTGGTTGATCCAGGTTGAAAAGATTGCAGAGCTGAGAGTGTAATGGAGATGTTCTACTGAAGCGGTGTGTTCCATTAGGAACCCAAGGGATAAATAATAATAATAATAATTATTCCAGTTGATTAGATTAAATTATCCAAGATCATCTCTTGGTCTGCATGAATTTTGTCATTGCATAATTTACAGCAACTGCAAATATTTAGCATACATTTCACATCTTTCACATGATACTTATTGCTTCAGGACTCATCTGCAACCACTTCTAGGTTAAAGATAGGAAGTTAAGTGGTTGAATTTGTCGACCACTTCACTTACTTGATGGACTGCATCAGCCCAAAAGAAATGGTTGCTGACAAAATCTCATCTCGGATACAGATTGTCCGATTCACATATGCCAACTTGCGTCTTCTGTTCCTCCAACTGGCAACGTATTTGATTGTCAAATAACGAACGAGTATGCCACACTGCAGTGGTCCGTTCTGTCCCATTATGTGGTTGTGAGACGCGGCCTTTAAAAGTGGAAGATATGAAGGAGTTGCAGGGTTTTTATCATACTTGTATTATTAGCATTGCTCGTATATGGTGGAATCTCCATGTGAGCAATGTTGACGTCAGGTGAAATGTATAAGGCAAGGAAGAGAAGGCGTCCGATGAGACTGTGAAGTTTCCCAGAGTGAGATGGCTTGAACTTGTACTGCGCAAGCCAAGCCATCTTTTACCTTGATGTTCAATGCTGTGGGGAACTTAGATTATGTTGGCAGAAGGCTAAGAGTGGTTAAACGAAGACGTGGCATCAGTCTGTGAAGTACTTTACTACTGATCTCAGCCGTGTAGGAATGTGCAGATTGCCTGGCTGGGGTCTGTGAGATAGCAGTTACCAGTGGTTGGAGATCCTTGGAGGCATGGTTGTAAAGCAATCATACTATGCCAAATTTACTCACTCTTTGATATCTTCGAAAGCTTGAGTGTTTTGGTCAAACTTAATGCTTAAATTCCCTCTCCACCTTTTGATATCAGTCTTTCTCATCCATTTGTTCTTTATGTACTACTGTGAAGTTTAAAACAATTAAATAGACTTTTTTGGTAGGAAAGTAAAGTTATTTTATTGTAGCCATGATAATAAAAAGAATCAAATTGTAACTTTCGAGAGAAAGGATATAGGTTCGAAAATTTGGCTTGTCATTTCTCCAGTGGAGCATAAATACCAAATTTTTGCTTCTTTTAAGCGGTTTTACTGTTTAGTCTAGAAAGTGTTTCAGAGGATTTACCAGCCAGATTTGAATGTTCTATATTCATAAAATTTTGAGCACTTACATATGTTGCGCATGAATATTTATTCCAAGCTATTTTCCTGAGTTCTCTTTGATTGTTGTTTGTTGAATGTGAGGAAGAATTGGAACCTGATTGGTTAACATTTTGTATATTTCTTTCTCAGATGAGTATGAAAATAAGTCATTGGTTGATTTCTTATTTTTGAATGCAGCGCGTTGATTTGATTGACTGACAGGAATGATGAAGGTTATTTTTCTCTGATTGGTCAATTTTTTCTTACCACAGCTCAGAGAATAAACTAATTTGGGTGCTCATATCTTATGATACAAATATTCTTCACAACTACAAATTATTATGCAAGCTACTTAGCGATATTTATTAAAATGTTTTTCGATTACAGCTGCTGAATCACCAAAAAATGTTTATGGCATAGCTTTAGCTCAAAACGTGTTATTTTTTGAAATGGATCAACCGAAAATGCCAACAACCTACCAATGCGGAGCATTGGCTTACATAGTGTCAGTTCGTACAGATGAAAAATTTGTAAATGTTTGGCGATACAATTATACTTTGATAACGGTGAATGATTTACTGATCAACCAAAATTCTATTGTACATGGACATCAAAACTTGTCATCACGTCTCCATTTTCTGATAAATAATCCGTACCCTGCAATGCAGCATCTCTATGTTCGGATTCAAACTATTCCATTCAGTGGAAGGAATTGGATTGAATTACGAATTTCACTACCTGTTTCAAGTAATTCTTTGTTATTATTATTATTGTCCTTTGGGTTCCTAGTGGAACACTAAGCTTCAGTAGCACATCTCCATTCAACTTTATTCTCTACAGTCTCTTAAACCTGGATGAATGACAGCCCAGAAGCTCTCATTTCTTCCTCATACAATCTCCTCCATCTCATCCTTGGACACCCAAATCGTCGTTTCCCCTTTGGGTTCCACTCGAGTGGCTGGCCTGATGCGTGATGCCTCCAGTTGGTCTTCTCAGTGTATGTCCAGTCCAATTTATCTCGACTTTCTTCTCCATACTTGTTAGGCGATGGGTTCTTGGTTGATTGGTTGCCAGAGTTCCTTGTTGCTTATTCTCATTATTCTGGCCATCTGAGCTTCAGTAAAGAGCCAGCGTAGGCAGCTGGTGATGAATATCTGTAGTTTGTCGGAAAAGCTTTACTTAATGCGCCAAGTCTCTCAGCCACCACATAAAAGCACTGACTTCAACTTGACTGTTATAGTGTTAAAAATCCGGATCTCGTTCATGCTTTATGCTGAGTGCAGTGCAGTGCAGTGCAGTAGATCTCCACACTGGTTTCAGATCAATGAAGGAAGGCCTATCTTGCTGTTTTACCGATCCTGACTTTCTTTGACATCCTCATCTGTGCCTGTGTCTCGGTCTGTAGTTGAAAGGATGCTGCCTAGGTAGGTAGGTAGATAAGTAGATAGGTAAGTTGGTTGGTTGGTCGGTGAAAGAGACTACTTCGTTTAGATTTCTGCCGTTGATGGTGATCAGTGTTTGTTGCTGTTGTTGTTGTTATTCAAGTATCTCCTTCACCTCCATCTTCTCTACATTCAGCTGGAAGATGTCCCGTCTTCGCTGCCCATCCTCGCCTCTTCTATCGAATTGTTAGGTTTCACCTGTAGATCTTTGAGTTTGTACGACATGAGACACTAGACATAAATAATCATGGGCGAAATCCCAATCTTCTTGGATCTTTTCCCGGTCAACGTATGCCCATCTTCTCGCTTTTTATGGTTTGCTACATGATCCAGTCCATCACAATCAGGAATATCATGGGTGATAGTAGACAGCCTCGTCTTACTCCTGTCATCACTTCAAGGGTGTCACTGAGCTTTCCATTGTGGATCACTTGGTATGTAGCGTCGTCATATAGCTGCTATTGAATGAGGTTGATGAAGGTTTGTGGTACTAGAACCGTAGTGTTGAAACAATTGCCTGTCAAATTACTTCTCTGTCGACTTCTATGCTGTGTTCCATGATGATGCGTAGCGTTGCAATTTGATTTGCACATGATTTGTTTTTGCTGAATCTATTCAGCCTGTTCCGACCGTAGTTTGGAATCCAGCGCAACCTTTAGTCTCTCCAAAATGACGGGGCATAATATTTTGCTTGTGGTGAACAGCAGCATGATTCGGCGCCAGTTCTTGCAAAGACTTAGGTCTCGCTTCTTTGAATGTTTGTCAAGGTAGCCCTTCTTCCAGTCAGCATGTGCCTTTCCTTCCTTCCTTCCTTCCAAACCCTCTGCAATATTGGGGTGAGTGAGTCCGCTGTTGTCTCTGCGTCTGCTCTCAGTGCTTCTGGCGGGGTTCCATCTTGGTCTGCTGCCTTCCAGCATTTCAGTAGCTTTATGGCGATCAGGACTTCGACTTTGGTCGGAGGGCTTGTGTTCACTTGTAATTCTGTGGCTGCAGGTGGTATTTCTGGACGAGTTGCAGGTGTTGGTAGATTCAGGAGTTTCCTGAATTGGTCGGCTCATCGTTTCCTTTGTTTCTCCTCTTTGCTAACTAAGCTGCGTCTCCACCTTTTTAACTTTGAGATGAAGTCGATCTGATTTTTAGCGTACTGCGTCCATTTCGTGAAATCGAATCCGTGTCGCTTTGTGAATATCTTTGTGTTTGTACACACTGACTCTAATCACCAAGTCATTTAATGCGCAGAATTCTGCAAACAGTTCTCCATTCTCATTCATCATTTCACCGAGTGCTTCTCGACCCGTGATAAGTTGTCTACTTGTGTTTTCTGCCCCCAGTTTGGCATTCATGTCACCCCACCCATTAGAATTTTGATATCACCAACTGTGGTGGTGTGGGGTCTTGTCCATTACCTATTGCAGTTGTCTGTAGAATTCCTCCTTCTTCTCCTCATCTGCATTATTTGTAGGTGCGTAGCGTAGCAATATATGATTGTGACTTTCCTTCAATTTGAGTTGAACGTTGCTGTGATGATCCTACAGAAGAAGATTGGTTCCCACTGTATGAGAGCCTTGGATGCTCTCGGGGACATCAGGATAGCCACTCCATAACTCAGGGTGCTCGTGGTTGTCGTCTGGGTGATCATAGTAGATTATTGGCTCTCAGACTGACAGTTTGGAGAGTCCACTTCTATTTCATCTGCATTCGCAGATTACAAGCACTTCCATGCAATAGCTCCCCATCTTTTTCGCAATCTGAGCAGCCTTATTAGGTTCATACATGGTGCGGACATTCTATGCCTCCATCTTTACTTTCGCTTTCATTGAGAGAAGAGAAGACATATTGACTAATTGGCTTCTCGAAAGCTTTAACCAATCGGCATCATTTCGTCTGTTTGATTCCAGTGAGGAATATGTTTGTTTAATATTTTCTTTGTGCTTTGAAGTTTCTTTAGCGATTGAATTAGTTTTACGGGGTAGGGTCGCTAGTCGTATGCCCAACCTCTCCTCTTTATTCGGGCTTAGGATTGGTTAGTATCTAGTGAACTAGTTACCTAGGTGAGGTTAAGAAATTCTTATTCTAGTGTCAAATATCTTAGTGAGTATCTGGTATCTCTTGCTTTGGTAAATTATCCTACTGTCAGTAATTAAAAGTCCCAGATGATAAAGGAAAACTTAAAAATATTTACAAAGAGACTGTATTCAAATATTTCAGTTGAACGTCCATCATGGACAGACATTGGTCGGAGGAATATTGGAAACCTAACAGTACTGGACAGCTGTTTCTTACTAGTAGGTGACTCCTCAGCAGCTGGCACCCATAACCATGCCTTCCAGGTTTCACAACCAACACGTTACTATTCAGCTGCTGAGTAGGAAAACAGTCCACGTGCAGTAGGTTTACCACCCAGGTCATGACTTCTCATTCGAACTTCAGGAATCACCTCCCAAACGCAGTCACTAACAAGCATTAGGTTCAGTTTGGAGGTTTTTGAAGGGATTTATTGATTTCAAGTTATTGGCTGACATCCCTGGCTGGGTCATTAGTGCTCACTGCTGGGAAGTCCTATACTCGGATGAAGCAGCAACTGTTTACTTGGTCTATTCTATGACATAAATCTAATTCCTCTTTGTGAATTTTTGTCATCAAAATTGAAAAATACAGGACTCCTCGACAGCAAGCAACCGCAATCCTGCCATAGTCCAAGCCCGATACGATTAAGATTCGTGGCAGAAACGCTACTATCATACCATTGAGTCAGAACGCGGTAGTCCACAGTTTGCGATATTGAATGACCTTCATCCAACATCATCGATGAGTATTTGTCCTCACATTCAATTTCATTTTGTTCCCCCTGTTTATGACTTCTCAATAAGACTTTCATGAAATCCTATCTTGAAACGTATCACTAATAGACAGTAGATAGTAATTTCATTTGAATTTGTGTGAGGATTTATCGATTTCTAGTTGGTATTCATCACAAGTTGACATCAGTTGGAGAACCTAGGAGTAATGAAAAGTTGGTTTTTCCTGTTACGGGACACTTCAACAGTGTACACCCATGAACCCTTTAGAGATTGAATTCATTAACTTCATGTTCCATGACTTGCATGTTACCAGTGAGTTCTCTAGCAAATCGTCAATTTCAGAACATTGAACATGCTTGTTTAAACATTCTAAATTAAAAGATAGATTGAACATAGAAGTATTCCTTTTCAAATAAGCTTTTCATCTTCAGTATTATAACCAATTTGTAGGTTTTACAATTAATTAAGGAAATATCATTCAGTTAATAATTTCATGAGCATGTAAATTAAATAAGATTGCAAGAAGTCTACAATAAAATGTAATAGGCTGTTATTTCACTGATTGCGCAACAATTAACATGAAAAGTCAAGGGTTTACAAACTAGTCATATGTTAACAATAAAAATTCTCTAAGAATAAGGAAACAGTCAGGAAGGGGTCCTCTCCAAACAACTTTAATCAATCAGATGAAGGAAAAAAGGAAATTAGACGTTAATTTATTCATCTTGATGACCATGACTGCAAACACCTCTTCATAATGAATATAAAGATGTAGCTTATAGACAAGTATACTAATAACTTCTGCTTTGTACAGTAAGCGAATACGCTAACCATGTAGGAGGCTTGATGGTGTACGCTGAGTAAATGTAAAAGCGAAGTCAGCAATCAATTTACCACCAGTATCTACCAATTTAAAAGACCCTAGAAGATTTGGATGTCACCCATGATGACTTATGTTTAATGTCTAGTCTCACAAACTTGAAGATCTATAGGCGAAAACTAACAAGTTGGCAGAAGAGGCGAGTTAGCGAAGTCGGGACTTATTCCAGCTGAATGTAGAGAAAGAAGAAGTGAAGAAAATACCCAATTAACAACAACAACAAGCACCAATCACCACCAACTGGAGAAATCGAAACGAAGGTATCTCTTTCACCAACCAACCTACCTACATACCTACCTACCTAGGCAGCATCTTTTTAACTAAACGCGGCGCAGATGAGGAAGTGAAAGCCAGGATGGGAAAGACAGTAAGACAGGCCATCATTAATCTGAAAGCAGTGTGAGGATCCACTACACTGCACTGCACTGCACTCAGCATAAAGCGTGAATAAGATTCGCATTTTCAACACTAAATCAGTCAAGTCAGTGCCTGCTTCTGTGTGACGGTTGAGAGACTTGGCACTTTATGACAAGCATTTCGAACAAACTACAGACATTCGTTGTGCGAAGAAGAAATGAAAGCTTGTGGGTCGTCGTGGTACCAGGTTGAAGAGACTTCAGAGAAGTGAGTGAAATGGGGACATGCTACTGAAACCCTATATTCCACCAACAAGAGGTTATGCGAGGCGAGGCAGTGAAAACCGGAATTCAAGTGAATTTAGAGAAGACAGGTGATGAAGCTACCAAACCAACAAAAGCATCAACACCAAGCACCGATCAACATCACCGGGAGAAACTTAAGGGAAGTTGTCTCTTTCACCTACCAACTAGGCAGCATTGTTTCAACTACATGTGGCGGCATAGGCACAAACAAGGATGTCAAAACCACGATTGATAAGACAGCAAGATAGGCATTCATTAGTCTGAAATCACTGTGATCTTCCGCACTCGGCATGAAGCATGAATAACATCCGGATTTTCAACAGCAATTCAGTCATCTCAGTGCTTTTATATGGTTCAGAAATTACAGCGTCACGAAAATCATTTCCAACAAATTACAGATATTCATCAACAGCTGCCGCCAACGCTCACTCGATACTGACACTGTAGATGAGAAGGCCAGAAAGAATAAGCAACAAGGAACTCCGACTGGCTGGTAACGAACCAGCAAAGCAAGATCCTATCAGCCAACAAATATGTGGAGTAAGAAAGTGGAGATGTATTGGATTGGGCATACACTGACAAGACCATTCGGATACATCACACGCCAGGACCTCTAGAGGAACCCAAAGGTGAGACGACGAGTTGGGTGTCCTAGCTGAGGGTGACATGATGGAGATCATGTGAGTAAGAAATGAAAGCTTATGGGCAGTCGTGGAGCCAGGTTGAAAAGACTGCAGAGAAGAGAGTGGAGTGGAGGCGTGCTACTGAAGCATTGTGTTCCACTAGGAACCTAAGGGAAAGATAATAACAGTAATAATAATGATAATAGTAAGATAAGGAGTCTAAAAAGAAGCGTAACAATAGCCATGCACGAAATTGCCTACAAGTACAAAATAGGATGGGACAAGGTGAAAATCTGTAGAATTATCTAGTGGAGTAGAAAGAGAGATTTATAACTGGATAGTCGTTAATCGAATCAACACCTAATACATGCAACAAGAATAACTCAATACCTACGGCAAATATATACAAAATCCTACTATCTGTATTACAAAGGATGCGAGAAAATTAAAACTATATAAAGCATGTCTCAAAGTTGTGAAGTTATCTTGACATGACTATGAACAAGCAATTGCATCCGAAACGTCATCCAGTAGATAATACTGTTTCCACTGTGTTGATACACTTAATAAATCCACTTAAATATGTATCTAAGGAAGAAATACGGTTATTTTGTTCTTCATTCATTGTTTAGGTGATGGCTGGATGAAAGCTGTTAAAATTATCATGAATGAAATTCTTATCAGTCTCATCTCAGTGAATTATAAAATGTATCTCCAAGGTAATGGGCATAAAATTGCAGCTGACTAGTCACTTCTTCTAGCTGACTGTCTTTCAGTTTGCCCGGGTAAAACTTCGCTATGTCTGACTTATTAATGACCCACTAACTGAACTCTCAAACTGTCTATAGAACTTGTTGTTCAAGGGAAAGTCTCCATAAGTCAAATACCTCTGAAGAAGTTCTTTTAGAATGAAAATAGGAACTCCAATACATATTGACGTCATGTTTGAACAATTCGTTGGAGATATATTCTGCTAACAATGAAATATTATTATTGTTGAGAAGACCAGATGCTTGTTGTAATAATGTATCAATGATTGCATCACATTCTACTGAGTTTGTCAGCTTACACGTGCATGTGTGGGGACATACAAACATAGGGAGAACTAGTCGAGATAAACACTTGAGTATGGGGGAAAATGTATCAAAATGGTGACTTATTAGCCTCTTTTTAATAATGTTTCTTAGAAATATATGTAAAACAAAATCTTTTTCTAATTACAGATTGTTACTTAGACTGTGTTTGGCCAAACCAATCACCATATTATCAAGTATCTCAAGGGATCAACGTTTATTCAGGTCATCATATAAGTTCCATAATCACTCATAGGCTTAAGAATAGTTTTGCTTTTACAAATTGTCCAATGATTCAGTCTACTGTTGGTAGTCATCATCCCAGAGTTTGTCAATTCAGTGAATTCTCCCAATTATCTGAATATGCAGTGTGTCGTGATGACAGTTCATCTGTAAAAATGTGCTTCGTTCCTACATGTGATAAAATGGGTAAGTTTGCATACACTGAATAAAATCTTGTCTTCTTTTTCCTAAAAAATGACATCAGACAGTATCCTTTAGAGGAATAAAAGCTTTTATATGTACTCTAAAAGTATATAATAAAAATGATGACTTTTGATGGCAATTTACTTTCATTAGAGTTGCAGAAATCCCTTGTTGACGAGTGCAAACGATTACAAAACGCGAGTATAGGGCCTCCTCATGGCTCAGTGGCCAGTGAAATCTCTGCATGAGTACAAAAGGCTCTGTTGGCTGGCTTTTGCCACCTTACGCCACGTATGGCGCCTCCATGATATCCAATTGTCTACTAAAGGTTGCGTGTACTGCACTACAGTCTGCCCGCTTCTACTGTATGGCTGTGAGACATGACCATTGAAGGTGGAAGACATAAGAAGGCTGGCTTCTAGTGTTTGACCACCGTTGACTTCAGAGTATAGGCCCTATTCCGTGGTATCACCACGTGGGTAACGCAGAAGTCAGGTGTAGAGTTTTAAGGAGAGAGGAGAGGTAAGTCAGTTGATGAGGTTATGAACCTTGATCGACTGAGATAGCTGGTTGGGACACGTACTACGTATGCCTAGTCACCAACTGCCTGATCACACAATGTTGGCTGAAGTAGGTGTAGGCTGGAGAAAGGCCCGAGTTGGCTAGACTGAAACATGGCACCGATGTATGAAGTCTCTGACTGTTTGTTCGAGCCATGTTGGGCGATGCATACTAGGTGGTTTGGGTTGGTGGGACAAGAGGAACCAGTGGCTGGAGACTCTGAGGGATATGGCTGAGAAGCGATGTCAGTGGTGCAGATGTATCCGCACACACATTATCCTCATGTTAACGACGCTATACCGAATCTCACCACTCATTCTTCGATTCTCTCTTTTCGTACTTTATATGTCTTTAGCTGTTAATGATAGCCAAGAAGAATAGTGAATATCAGTTTTTGTCGAAGTGACTTTGAAGGCTACCCTAACAACTACTATAATACACACTTAAGTTTCCGTATTTTATGCAAAACTCTTCTTCTAATCAGAATGTAGATTTCTAAGTGATCATTTCCCTAATTGTTAGGCTTAGGGCTGAGTCACCACCAATTAATCACTATTACTTTTGACGCCGCTATATATACTACTTATAAGCATCCTAATAAGTAGATATCACTAGTAACGTTTCTAATACATGAAGTTGAGCATGGTACCGTTGGACATACTGTAGTTTCTTCCAACGCTGACGTTCTAATTGGTTTGGTTACAAGACTCCATGATTTTCAAAAGGCATACTGATGAAACGTCGCTGAGGTTTACATTCCATTTTCAACCATTATTCAGTAAAAGTGATACAAGTTTGCCAAACCACAGTTATCTCAGATAATTCCACTAATATTATGGGATATTTTTGAAAGTGCTGAAATTTTCGTCCATTCATTGCCAGTATGAAGTTCTTTTCAAGAAACTGGAAACTTAAACATCAAACATCCGAGTTACATTATTATTACTGTTATTATTAGTCCCTTGGGTTCCTAATGGAACATACCGCTTCAGTAGCACGTCTCCAGTGACCTCTGTTCTCTGAAGTCTTTTGATCCTGGTTCCACGACAGCCCACAAGCTCTCATTTCTTCCTCGCACGACCTCCTCCATGTCACCCTCACCACGGACACCCAACTCGTCGCTTCCCATGGGGATTCCACTCGAGTAACTGACCTGACGCGTGATGTCCTCAGTCGGCCTTCTCAGTGTATGCCCAATCCATCTCCACTTCCTTCCACTGCATACTTCTTGAGTGGTAGGTTCTTGGTTGGTTTATTCCCAGAATTCCTTGTTGCTTATTCTTTCAGGCCTTCTCATCTGAGCTTCAGTAGCGAGCATAAGCAATTGTTGATGAATGCCTGTAGTTTATTGGAAATCCCTTTCGTGACGCGCCAAGTCTCTGAACCATACAGGAGCACTGACTTGACGTTGGTGTTGAAAATCCGTTTCTTGTTCCACATGCTGAGTGCAGAAGATCTCCACACTGGTTTCAGGCTAATGAACGCCTGTCTTGCTTTTCCGATTCTGACTTTGACGTCCTCGTCTGTCCCGCCTGCAGTTGAAACAGTGCTTCCTAGATAAGTGAAGGAGGTTACTTCCTTATCCGAGTTACATGCAAAATCTAAAATATGCTATTTGTCTGAAAGACCCTACTGTGTAAATAGAAAAACAGTGACTAATGATATAAAAATCTCGAACCATGAGATGTCTGTGGGTTTATGACCTTCAAAATCACCTTAAACAAAGTGTTTCAATAATGTAAACAACAAAGCGAACCAGAGAAAAATATGAGAAACACGCAGATTGCTAGGGCAAGATAAGGGGTATGATATGAAAAAAATGTTCAGGGAAAGATATATCATCAAAGAAATGATTAAGCAGGGCACAACCTGGTCATAAAGTGGGAAACGTACCAATATCTTTACGTCAAATAATAAAATGTGATTATAGCCGAAATGAATTATCAAAGCCACGGATAAGGTCACATTGTTGGAGATAATGTTTACACTACTTACTAATAGTAAGTAGCACAAACCTTTATACATAAAATGGAAAAAACTAGCAATCAGGTTTACGCTCACTACAAAAACACTGTGGATCTCACGAGTTTGTTGACTGAATACAAAAGTTGCTATAACCGAAACCAACAGATTTATAAAGATGGGTTTATTTCCTTTGAAACTTTTATCCTTACTACTGGTTGTCCTCACAATGACCTAATTTTTTCTGCTGAAGAGATAATCTCTCTGTCTCTCTCAACATGTTTTTATCAATGTCGCTACATGCATATGACTGCTATTTGACGTCTCAGCTGAAGTCTCAGGGTACATTTTTCTAGAGCTGACAGTTTATCACCGTTGAATGAATCGAATCGGCCATCCACTATTTTCATATAGACATTTATACGATCAAATCAAGGGAACGATAAGCTAGAAAATCGAACTTTATTGTTCATTACAAAATAAGTGGCTTGTAGATAACTCTTTGGTGTTTGAAATGATAAATTTTGACTGAAATATCAGATGGAATAAAATGCCTTCAAAAAAAGAGTAATATCATGTAACTGTACAAGTTTGAAATATCTTTCATATAATCCTAATTTTCTCTCCTTCTCTGTGATGATAAGGGTAGTAGGGGTTTTTATGTATCTGGGACAGCTGCAGAATCATTTCTATTACTCCATGTATTTGTTGTTGATTTGATGAACAAATATTTGGTTATCCATTAATTTTTCAACACTTTCACTGTATCCCACCCGACTGTGTAACTGATTGTGTGTAATTGCTTGCATGGCTATGACCAGCCGAACTCTTCTCTAAATTCCTTATCTCCTTAGGATCTGCTTATCTTGACTTAGCTAAGTTCTTCTGCTATGTTATTCTAATTGGTCTTGATCTGCCACTTTGATTGGCCTATGTATTTAACTAAACTATACTGTCTAGTAGGATCAGTAGCACATTTCAACCTAAAAAAACTTGTTTTTAAGTGAGTTTGTTGGTTTAAATGCGACTTCAATCTGAGTCAGCTTCTGAGATACCTTCCTTGTATAGTAACATAGAAGAGGCTTTGAATTCTCTCTCAACCCTTTCACCATTATTACTTTCAGTGGTAGAATTATTATGAATAAGACCTATGTTACTACTACTACTACTACTACTACTACTACTACTACTACTACTACTACTACTACTACTACTACTACTACTACTACTACTACTACTACTACTACTACTACTACTACTACTACTACTACTACTACTACTACTACTACTACTACTACTACTACTACTACTACTACTACTACTACTACTACTACTACTACTACTACTACTACTACTACTACTACTACTACTACTACTACTACTACTACTACTACTACTACTACTACTACTACTACTACTACTACTACTACTACTACTACTACTACTACTACTACTACTACTACTACTACTATACTATTACTACTACTACTACTACTACTACTACTACTACTACTACTACTACCACTACTACTACTATTACTACTACTACTACTACTACTACTACTACTACTACTACTACTATTAATACTACTACTACTACTACTACTACTACTACTACTACTACTACTACTACTATTACTACTACTACTACTACTACTACTACTACTACTATTACTACTACTACTACTACTACTACTACTACTACTACTACTACTACTACTACTACTCACACTACTACTCATATTCATGCTTCGATTCCCTTCGAATTTATTCATAAATTTAGGTGAGTAATTATTGAAACTCGTAAGGTACTCTCGTCTTCATGTGTCCACTTTCTTGTCATAGATTTTCTGGCCTACTAGTGATCTTTTCCGCCTTATCACTTAGGTATTTAACTAAGCCAAGTTGAAGTGAGATGGGATAGGAGGATTTGAAGTCTAAATGGTGATTCTAATGAGAATGGAACATAGGTCATGGATTCCATTGCCAGCTACTATCTATCCATCGTTGTTTTATTTTGTGAATGTTTACTTGACTGCTTTAGGTTTTTGGCAACTAAAAAAAAAATCATTATATCACTTGATCATTTAGATTTTTCCCTATGTTGTATAAATCTTAATAAATAGGGGTGGAGAATATTTGTAACTCAGATAGATGGTATTGGTTGTATTGTGTTCTCTGAACTGGATCGCGTAATCGTGTTTTCTCTTTCGACTGTTAATCATTGATTGATATTTCCGGATCGTATGATGTGTATCTGTGTTCATCAATTGTACCGTTTGTCTTCCACTTTGTTCAGCTATTTTCTGTCCCAGTGGACAGTTAATCGGTTGCCTATATTTGACACTGTTTGCCAGAACATGCTGACGTAGGCACTCATGGAGGAAGAATAGTTGTTCTTTTGTGGAAGCTTGCCTCTTGCAGAAGTTCTCCTACCTTCGAACAATGTGAAGCGTGTTAAGCTCGTATGATTTTGAATTGGTGGAGAATAATTTTAGCTCAGGTGGATAGTCTTGGTTGTATTGTGTTCTCTAAGCTGGGTTATTCAATCTGTTAAACAACCCACCTTGATAAATAGTATCATGAAGTGACCAGGTTGATGATAAAATAGGTGAAATGGTACAAACACAATGAAGTTATGTAACTAGGTACGCATAGTGACTGTTCTCCCTTAGACCCAGGATACTCCAGCGATATAGTGCGCAGAAAGATTAACAAAATCTTCATAAGGAGCCGCATGTGCCTAAAGCCTTTGAAATTTTGAGAAAAAATACGTGAACCAACATCTAAGTATCAGGCTGGTGGAAGAGGTGAAGAAGTGATCGACAGCGTCGACGAACAAGTAATTTGGAAACTGCCTCAACACTGCAGTTTTAGTGTCACAAATCTTTAACAAACTCATTCAACAGCAGCTATAAGATGACGCCACTTTGCCTAGTGATCCACAATGGAAAGCTCAGTGACGACTTTGAAGTGAAGACAGGAGTAAGGCAGGCCTGTCTCCTATCACCTATGATCTTCTTGATTGTGGTCGACTGGATCATGCAACAAACCTTGAGGAGAAAGAAAATGGGCATACGCTGTTTGATCGATCACAAGAGCCTACGGGATTTGGATTTCACCCATTATGACTAGTGCCTAATGTCACACAAACTCGAAGATCTACAGGCGAAATCTAACAAGTTGACAGAAGAGGCAGGGTAGTGAGGGAAGACGGGACTTCAAGTGAATGTAGAGAAGACAGAGGTGATGATGATACCGGCTCAGAAAGTTGGTGTGTCACGAAAAGCATTTCCAACAAACTACAGATATTCATCAACAACTGTCGCCAACGCTCATTCGATACTGACACTGTAGATGAGAAGGCCAGAAAGAATAAGCAACAAGGAACTCCGACTGGCTGGTAACGAACCAGCAAAGCAAGATCCTATCAGCCAACAAATATGCATTGGAAGAAAGTGGAGATGTATTGGATTGGGCATACACTGAGAAGGCCCTTGGGTTCCTAGCGAAACATAGGGCTTCAGTAGCACGCCTCCATTCCACTCTCTTTTCTCCAGTCTTCTGGATATGGCACCACGACTGCGCAGAAGCTTTCGTTTCTTCCTCACACAATCTCCTCTATGCCTACCTAGCGTCGGACGCCCAACTCGTCGTTTCCTCTTTGCATCCCATTCCAGGGTCTGACCTTCTCAGTGTATGCCCAATCCAATACATCTCCACTTTCTTACTCCACATATTTGTTGGCTGATAGGATCTTGCTTTGCTGGTTCGTTACCAGCCAGTCGGAGTTCCTTGTTGCTTATTCTTTCTGGCCTTCTCATCTACAGTGTCAGTATCGAATGAGCGTTGGCGACAGTTGTTGATGAATATCTGTAGTTTGTTGGAAATGCTTTTCGTGACATACCAACTTTCTGAAACATATAGCAGCACTGAGTTGACTGAATTGCTGTTGAAAATCCGGGTGTTGTTCACGCTTTGTGCTGAGTGCAGTGCAGTAGATCTCCACACTGATTTCAGATTACTTCAGGAAAACCTGTCTTGCTGTCTGTTAGATCCTGGCTAGATTTAACATCCTCGTCTGTGCTTGTGCCATCACCTGTAGTTGAAACGATACTGCCTAGTTGGTAGGTGAGAGAGACAACTTCCCTTAAGTTTCTCCCAATATAATGGTGATTGGAGCTTGTTGTTGTTGTTGGTGGTGGTGGTGTTGGTTGGGTATCATCATCACCTCTGTCTTCTCTACATTCACTTGATGTCCCGTCTTCCCTCACTACCCTGCCTCTTCTGTCAACTTGTTAGTTTTCGCCTGTAGATCTTCGAGTTTGTGTGACATTAGACACTAGTCATGATGGGCGAAATCCAAATCCTGTAGGCTCTTGTGATCGATCAAACAGCGTATGCCCATTTTCTTTCTCCTCAAGGTTTGTTGCATGATCCAGTCGACCACAATCAGGAAAATTATCGGTGACGGTTGGCAGGTCCGTCTTCCTCCTGTCAATGATAACCACTGCATAACTCATTGTGCCCGTGGTTGTCGTCTGGGTGATCGGAGTAGATTACCGACTTCCCAGTTAAGAGTTTAGAGAGTTCACTTCTATTTCATCTGTTTTCGTAGATTCCAAGCACTTCCATGCATTACCTCTTCATCTCTTTGGCAATCTGGGCAGCCTTGCTAGGTTCATACATGGTGCGGACATTTCATGTCTCCATCTTTACTTTCTCTTTCATCGAGAGAAGACACAACGGTTGACTGGCTTCCCGATTCCAGCGAGAAATAAGTTTGTTTTCATGTTTTATATTTTCTTTGTGCTTTGAAGTTTCTTTAGCGATTGAATTGGTTTTACGGGCTTAGGACCGGCTAGTAACTAGTGAACTATTTTTCCCTGCACTGTCCACCACGAAATAGTCAGACCATGTTGATGAAAACAATGAAGTACTTGTCGAGAGTTTGCATAATGATGTAACATGTTTAGTTCCATCCAGCTTTTCTAAAACCATACCTCACAATGAATGTCTACAAGAGATTCTCAAGGGTTACCACTATGTAAGCCCAAACATCAGTGTCAACAGTTACACAGATATTTAAAACGGTTCGAATCCTCTGCATACATATCGAACGATATAGTTGCTTTGCATGATAACATTTTATTATATCACAAACAATTTATGTCCATACAAGGAAACGGATCATCTGAAAGTCAGCTGCACTTCAGATATCATATCCAATAACCAGCTACTGTTCTTCCTCAGAACCAGGATACTTCATTAAGCCACGAGAATCAGAAGACAGAGACCAGTTCGTGACTGGGAAGAAGACAACTTTACTCGCCAAAAACATATATGATTTATATACAGTTTTTCCTCAGAAAATAAAGCCACTCTGTCAAATATTGGATACTTATTTTGCTTGGTTAGCTGTAGGATAAAATTGTCCAGTAAGGTCTATAACTGGATCTTGGAGCTTAGTTTGTAGAGTCCTAGATCAGTAACTCACAGGTTACTGCTTACAATCATATCATGATTCCAATTTGTCCAATATGGAAGAAAATGAGATATCTGGCAATGAACAGTAAAATTACTCAATAAAATACACCGAAACACTTTTTCCCTGTTGCCATTATGCGACAAGTCTCTATATGTGATTATGCTCATTTCAGAAGTATTGGGTCCTATACTTTATTAACCTAGTAGAATTGATGGGTAATGAGCCCGAATATCAGCTAAAATAACATAACTCACTAGGATGCCGATACGCATCTAGTTAATGGGATGATATATGTAGCCGGAATTCTATGACTAGTCAGTATCTTTAGACTATTGAAATAGTGGAGAATATTTGTAGCTCAAGTGGATGGTCTTGATTACATTGTGTTCTTTTAGGAGCTGGGTTGTTTAATCGTGAAGCTTTCATCACCTTGCTAAATGATATCATCCACAGCACTAACTTCAGTATGAAGTGAGCTGTCAATATCTCTTGACGAAGCGGTCTATGATTGATTATTTCCTTTGATTGTTGTAGCAACGACTAGCTGCACAGACTTTCTTGTTGGCTGTTCCTCTGCTAGACCTCTGATCTTCCTGTCTTTTATCATCTGTCTTATTAGTTGATAGATTGGGTCTATGTGTATACATCTATTGATTTCTGACTGACCTGAATGTCAAGCTTCTAGGAATTCTTTGATATTTCTTGTGTTTCCTCTGTCTAAGATTTGGACAGCTCACTTCCTACTGAAGTTAGTGGTGATGATATCGTCTAGAAGGACGATGAAAGCGTCACGATTAAACAACCCAGCTCCTTAGAGAACACAATATAAACTAAGATCTCTAGACTATGTTATATGTGAAGAAGAGAATTGTAACTACTTCATAAACTTCAAAAATGGGTCATAAACGGATTTCATTACTGAATAGTTCATTCATTCAATTTTTTTAAAGTATATGAAAGAAAAGAACAAAGTTGTTTATTTGATAATGTTTTTTTTTCTCATAATTTTATTTCTTTTTTTTTTATCTCTCTCCTCTTTTGTAAGCTCCAATTTCGTGTATAACTGTTGAACATTCAATCTTCAGTAATTCATCAGTTATTCAAATTGAATGGAAACCCCCAGAATTACTTCAGAGTAGTTATCTCTTGTCAAATTTTCAAAGTAACCAATTGGAAGCTGATTCATATTTAATTATTTTATATAGACTAAATGAAATGAATAAGAAATATCGAATATGTGCTCAGTATAAATTTCTCGTAAGTTGGTTTTTCGTTTCTACGTAAGTACCTATTGATTTAATAATTCACCATTATATTATTAGTATAGTATAATAGTAATCCAAGGATATTTAGTATTTCGCTTTGTATTGATTGCAAGAGATTTGCTTAATTACATCAGTAGGATCTTTTAATCTAAAAAGCTTGTTTCTAAGTGAGTTTGTTGGTTTTAATCGCTCTCTTATCCCAGTCAGCCCTATGGAGAATTCTTCGTAATGCTTCACAGGTGCTTTCCTTATATGGTGACATATAAGAGGGTTTAAATTCTATCTCAACCTTTTCACCATTATTACTTTCAGTAGTAGAATTATTATGAATAAGACCTGTGTTACTACTACTACTACTCACACTACTACTCATATTCATGCTTCGATTCCTTTCGAATTTATTCATAAATTTAGGTGAGTAATTATTGAAACTCGTAAGGTACTCTTGTCTTGATGTGTTCACTTTCTTGTCATAGATTTTCTGGCCTACTAGTGATCTTTTCCGCCTTACCACTTAGGTATTTAACTAAGCCAAGTTGAAGTGAGATGGGATAGGAGGATTTGAAGTCTAAATGGCGATTTGAACGAGTAGGTTTCCTATAGGCACCATTCTGTAAAGTTCCGACTTGTTCTCCTTCAATCTTGCAATCCAAAATTGCTAGCTCATCTTCTTACCTATTTCTAAGTCATTGGCAAATTGGATTGCATTCACTGCTGAATGTATATATATGTCAAGAACCTATTGATGTGTTCCTATATCTATAAACTTATCATATAAATACCGAAAATATACCTTTAAAGTATAATTAAAATTATGAAGGTGCTTATCTAGGCAGCACCGTTTCAGACAAGGACGTCAAATCCAGCCAGGATCAGAAACACAGCAAGACAGGCGTTCATAAACCTGAAACCACTGTGGAGATATTCTCCCCTCAACTCAGCACTAAGCATGAACAACACCTGGATTTTCAACACCAATTCAGTCAAGTCAGTGCTTCTATATGATGGCTGAGAGACTTGGTGCGTTACGAAAGGGATTTTCAACAAACTACAGATATTCATCAACAACTGCCGTCTATGCTCGTCACTGAAGCCCAGATGGCCAGAATAATAAAAATAAGCAACCAGGAACTCTGGCTGGCTGGCTGGCTCTCGAGTGGAACCCAGATGGGAAACGACGAGTTGATCGTCTCAGCTGAGGGTGACATGAAGGAGGCCACGTGATGAAGAAATGAAAGCTTTTGGGCAGTCGTGGAGTGAGGTTCAAGAGTTTGTAGAGAAGACAGTGTAATGGAGACGTGCTAGGTAAGCTCTATATTCCACTAAGAACCCAAAGGATAAATAATAATATGTATATATAGTATTAATGAATAATCTGTGTGTTATCGCGCAGCAAGACGATATCATTCACATATTCAAGTTCGAATAGCTATTCTTCAGATAGTAGATTCACACCATATTTGTCAGCCTGGTCGACTGGATCATGCAGCAAACAGTGGGGAATGAGAAGAGGGGGATACGCTGGACGGCAGAAAAGAACCTGGAAGACTTGGATTTCGCCGATGACTTGTGCCTAATGTCACATAAACTTGAAGATCTACAGGCAAAAACTAACAAGTTGATAGAAGAGGCAGCGAAGACGAGACTTCAAGTGAATATAGAGAAGACAGAGTGATGAAGATACCGCACCACCACCATCAACAACAACAACAAACTCCAATCACCATCAACGGGAGAAACTTGAATGAAGTAACCTCCTTCACTTATCTAGGAAGCACTGTTTCAACTACAGACGGGACAGACGAGGATGTCAAAGTCAGAATCGGAAAGACAGCAAGACAGGCGTTCATTAGCCTGAAACCAGTGTGGAGATCTTCTGCACTCAGCATGTGGGACAAGATACGGATTTTCAACACCAACGTCAAATCAGTGCTCCTGTATGGTTAAGAGACTTGGCGCGTCACGAAAGGCATTTCCAATAAACTACAGACATTCATCAACAACGGCCTACACTGGCTGGCTACTGAAGATCAGATGGCCAGAATAATAAGAATAAGCAACAAGGAGCTCTGGGAACGAACCAACCAAGAACCTATCACTCAACAAATATGCAGTGGAAGGAAGTGGAGATGGATTGGGCATGCACTGAGAAGGCCGACTGAGGACATCATGCGTCAGACCAGTTGCTCGAGTGGAATCCCCATAGGAAGCGACGAGTTGGGTGTCCGTGGTGAGGGTGACATGGAGGAGGTCGTGTGAGGAGGAAATGAGAGGTTGTGGGCTGTCGTGGGACCAGGTTCAAAAGATCTCAGAGAACAGGATGAAATGGAGACGTGCTACTGAAGCCCTATGTTCCACTAGGAACCCAAGGGACAATAATAATATAATAATAATAATAATAATAATATTTGTCAGCTAGATGTACTCATTTATACTTGAACTCAGTGTTCACAACAGCCGTTTATAATTAACTCTTGTACTAGATCGACTTTATTATTTACTTTTTTATTTATTTGTCTCTAGGTTATATCAAATGATATTTATGAGAATTGGAAAAAATATTTCCATGATTTAATAATTCAATCGTTAATATATTCATGTCTTGGACAAACAATTCATTCATTCACTTCAACAGAACAAAATACTATTATCATTTTTGAAAATCTTTTACCAAGTACACAATATGAAATCAGTATAATATCATTTAATAAATTTGGTAATGCTGGAAGTGAATGGTCTGAAGAAATAGCTACATCTGTTGCAAGTATGACTTTATTGTAATGATGAGTACACTTTATAGTTTATAATTCTATTTATATGATGATCAAAGATAATTCTTATGCGGTTGTGTTAACCTACTGATGTGAACTTTGATCTTATTGGTTAATACGATGGGTCAATATCGATATGTCTGTTTATCGCTGACTGATCTGAAGACCATATTTCTAAGTATTCCCTAGCATTCTTAGTATCCATGATCTTTACATTTGAGCGAACATACGTCATGATGCTTCACTACTTAATTGATTTTCATGTAAACGGTTTATCTTCAGTTTATTTTGTCTTCCTTTTTTAGTCAATTATGAGTCAGTGGAATCATATCCATTGGGTAAGTTGTAGTGTGGTCGTCAAAAAAACCTGAATATTTTGACCTTGATCTATCAGAACATTGTAGGTGAGCATTTCTGAGAATCTCTTTATCAGAAATGAAACAAGTTTTCACTGTTTTTAGTTTTTCCTTGACCGATGTCCATGTATGATGAGAATCACTTAGAATTCTCGAAAAATCCCTATAAGAAACATAAGAAAATGAAAACATTTGGTTCAGCAAAGAGACTTTTTCCACTGATTTAAATCGCTAAGCTATGCAATTGCATTTATTTATGTATACAATTTTCTCTATGGTGAGAATATATATACAACTTTTTTCATGTGTGGAAACAATTTGCTGAATATTTCAAGTTGTTATTCATCGTAGGCTGACATCAGTTCCATGGCCAACGCGTTACCAGTTAGCCACTAGGTCAGAATCCACGGAACCTGAAGGTCGCGGGTGCGCACTGTCGAGGAGTTTCATACTAGGACGAAACAGTAGTCCAGTGCTCCTAGGTTTCCTTTGTTCCTCCAACTGATGTCAGCCTACGATGAGTAAAAACTTGAAATATTTCCAAATCTTCACAACTCCCTCAAAATTTGCCGAATAGCCCAACAAGCAAACTGTTTCTTTATATTATTTGTTCCTTGGGTTCCTAGTGAGACATAGGGCTTCAGTAGCACGTCGTTATTTCACTCTCTTTTCTTCAGTCTTCTTTCTTAATCTGGCTCCACGAACACCCATAAGCTTTCAATTCTTCTTCATACGGTCTCCTCCATGTCATACTCGGACTCCTAACTTGTCGTTTCCTATTTGGATTCCACTCGATGACCGGGTCTGGCGTGTGAAATCGCCAAACCGTATTCTCAGTGTGTGCCCAAAATCCAATCCAATCCATCTCCATATTTGTTGGGTGATAGGTTCTTGGTTGGTTGGTTCGTTGCCAGGCCAGAGTGAGTTCCTTGTTGCTTATACTTATTATTCTGGCTATCTGATCTTCAGTATGGAGTGAGCGTAGGCGGAAGCTGTTCATGTATGTGTTCAGTTTGTTGGAAATGCTTTCCGTGATGCACCAAGCCTCCCAACCATCATATAGAAGCACTGACTTGACTGACAGGGTGTTGAAAATCCGGATGTTGTTCACGCTTTATACTGAGTGCGGTGCAGTACAGTAGATCTCCACACTGATCTCAGACTATTAAAGGCCTATCTAACAAGCAAACTAATGCACATGAAAAGAGAAATATCCTTCTCATCATGAAATTATGAAAATGTTTATGAATTGTTGGGAATTTAGAGATTTTTCAAGTTAGTATTCATTATGGACTGACATCATTTGGTTGAAGAACATTTGAAACTCGAAAGCACTGGATAGCAGTGAGCACCCTGGATACCGCCAGTGATCGAACCCATAACCTTCAGGTTATGTGTCGAGTGACTCAATGATAATGTGCTAGCCATAATTCTCTATTGCATAAACAGTTCTGGCTTTTTTTATTTGAATTGCTAAAGATTTAGCGATACAAAAAAGATGGATACGTACTGACTTGTGCAAGTTTTTTTTCATTTCGTAAATAATTTTGAATCATTAAGTGGTTGCTGAGATTGAATGACCAATATCCATATGGTGTTTCATTGTCACATTGACGGATCCACTGTCACTTCTATGGAGCCATAGAAGATAGGGTTTCATTATTATTTTATTATTTGTCCCTTCGGTTCCTAATGGAACATACCCCTTCAGTAGCACGTCGCCTTTACACTCTCAGCTCTGCAATCTTTTCAACCTGTCTCCACAACAGCCCACAAGCTCCCATTTCCTCCTCGCACGATCTCCTCCATGTCACTCTCCCCAGAGACGTCCAACTCGTAGTTTCCCATCTGGGTTCCACTCGAAGACCTGGCCTGGACTGCTGCATGATGTCCCCAGTCGGTCTTCTCAGTGTATGCACAATCCATCTCCACTTCCTTCCACTGCATAATTGTTGAGCGATAGCTTCTTGCTTTGTTTTTGCGTTACCAGTCAGCCAGCCAGAGTTCCTTGTTGCGTATTTTTATTATTCTGGCCATCTGGGCTTCAATGACGAGCCTGTCTTGCTTTTCCGATTCTGACTTTGACATCCTCGTCTGTACCGCAACCTGTAGTTGAAATGATGCTGCCTAGTTAGTAGGTGAAAGAGACTACTTCCTTTAAGTTTCTCCCAATATAATGGTGATTGGAGTTTGTTGTTGTTGTTAGTGCTTTTGGTTGGGTATCTTCATCACCTCCGTCTTCTCTGTATTCACTTGAATTCCCGTCTTCGCTGCCTCTGTAGATCCCCAGGTTTGTGCGACATCAAACACAAGTCATCGACGAAATCCAAGTCTTCTAGGTTCTTTTCCGCGGTCCAGCATATCCCCCGGAAGATAGGGTTACTGAACCCTTTCGATGGGATACACATCGAATGACCGATATACCCAACTCTGATGGAACAAGTGAATTGATATGGGATCTTGAATTTCGGGTTTCAGAACAGTGACTACAGAATACTAGTCAAAAGGTAGCCACAAACCACATTCTCTTCAAAGAGCTTCATTTTCCTCTGAAATGAATCAATCCCACCAAAATTAAAATCACTTTTCAGTATCTTTTAAAGAAACCGAATAAAAAGGAAGAAAATCTATTGGTCACTTGATTCCTAATCATATTTTCCATAGATAATATGAAAAACTGAATTCATGTTAACTTCAATATGGTATGACAGATGAAAATTCTACATCGGATCAACAGTATATTGATGACTGACGGTAGTATGAACTAATCAGACTAAAAATGTTGACATATGCTGAAGTTATTTCAAGTCTACACTCAGTTATTTATTCATTGAACATCTCTCCAGCTCTAAAGACTCTTAGCTTGATGATGAAACATTCAGGAATAAACGTTGAAGTTCGGAGAAAAGAAAAAATAAGTTTTCTAGTTTAGTTTGAAGCTTTGTGAGGATATATTTATTGATTTCAATTCGATATTTATTGGAGATTGACTGTTGAGGAGTCCCGTACTGGGATGAAACAGCTGTCCAATGCTCCCAGATTTCCAGTGGTTCTCCAACTGATATCAGTTCATGATGAATACTACTTCTTAATTAACAAAATCCCCATTCATCTCAAAAATACATTAGTGTATAGTGCTTATTAGTGACTTGTTTCCAGATGAATATCACGAAGCTCTAATGAAACCTGTGGGGTCAACCTAGTCGGAAGTGAAGTGGATGCCAACTGAAGAAGTTGGATGATAGTCGCGCTATGTCATGAATTGACAGAAGTTGGAAATTGTGAGCCACTGGAAACTGACCCAGTGGTTGAATGGCTAACGCGTTTGTCATGAAGGTCCGGTGTTCGATCCCTAACCGAGTCGTGGGTGCGTACTGCTAAGGAGTTGCATACTAGGACGGGACAACTGTCCAATGCTCTCAGATTTCCAATGGTTACCCAACTGATGTCAATCCATGATAAATACCACTTATATATTCATATTAGTCATAATAATCTCCTCTTATAGATAATAACAAGCAAGAATTAAAACAAAACTCTTCTCTTTTATCCACACCTTTCCTTTTGATAAAAAAAAAATGATCTAGTCCCATGTGAACCAGAAGAGTTAATCATTTACAAGATTGAATCACATGCTATTTCAGTGAAATGGTCATTGAAAAAAAGTGTTTATTGTGGAAATCCTTCACGTGTTATCCTATACTATAAACTGGTTAAATTGAATAGTAACAATGAAGAATGGTCATTTATTGATACAGAATATTTATTAGAGCATATAAGAATTTCATCACTTCTTCCATGTCAAACATATTGTGTTAAAGTGAGATTTATCAATGTTGCTGGTAATGGAAAATTATCAAATATTGTCTGTAATACAACTAAACGATCAGGTTAGTATCTCATAAATGAGATCAAAATTAATGATTTGTATGATTTGTATGTATGCTATATAGATCTAAACAAAGACTTCTAGTTTACTCAGTTAATTGATCAGTGAATGTGTATAGTTGAATGAGTCAAGTTGTAAACGTCAACTCATGACTAGACAATATAAAATTGGTTGCACTCCTATGACCAGTCAATACACGTAAGCCAGTCCTACAGGAGGTCAATCGCAGCCCGAATAGTTCAGTGGTGAAGTCGCTGACGCATATTCGAATCTCAGGCGGGACATCACTTTCGTCGAGGTTGCAGATATGCCTTGCTAAGGAGTGCCAAAAAACACGAAGCGTAAGTCCAAGGCTTCCTACAGATTGCCTCCAACCAACTAACAAACATCAAGTGGATTTTCTTTAGCATTTCAAAGAATTGAGATGTATTCTATCTTCTCAATTGAATATAACCTTCACCACATCTCACTTAAGGGTATTTTTCATCAGGAACTAATTAGCTGTCTTCAGGAAACTACTGTATAAAGATACGCTAAACTTTGATTTAAATTAGCTTGAATGAGATTTAGATAATTGTTAATAACATGAAAATAGCTGTGCTGTTGCGACCTGTCATAGAACCTATTTTAAAGATGATTAGTGAAACTAGGGCGACTGATAACGTGAAATTCATATTGGATTAGCAGTCAAGTTTACCAGGTCCTCCCATGGAAAAATAGGCAGGTAAATAGGCATGTGGGTAGAAGGGGGTGAGTGGACAGGAAGGTGGGTAGATAGGTGGGTAGGAAAGTGAGGGGATAGGTAGGTGAGTAGGTAGGTAGGTAGGTAGGCTGGTGTATAAGTAGGTGTGCAGGAAGGTGTGCAAGTGGACATAGGGGGGAGGCAGGTAGGTAGGTATGTAAATATATAGGTTTCTAGGTAGGTAGGTATGAAGGTAGGCAGGTAGTTACATGGACAGACAGATAGGGTTGCCTGGTCGTTTTATTTTTAAGCTTGTTATATATCCCAAGTACACAAGATCCGCGAACTCTAACACTGTTGAAATAGAGTAAAAGAGTGAACTCGATAAAAGAATTTACTCCTTAGAGAAGAATAGTTAGTTAACCGAAAATCACTTGTGTATATTTGTACATTACATTTGACCTTGTCCAGAATCTGATGCATTAATGTAATGAAATTAAGCATTAACCAATCAGAGAAATATCTTGAAATTTATAAGTGTTATGTGAATTTTTAAAGTTTTGATTACACAATGACTTTCTATGTTCAGTTATCATGTCAAGATATTGAAGATAAATGGAGAAGGGGATTTGAAACAGAAATCTATCTAGATAGTGTGTAAATTATACCAGAATCACAAGAAGCATTTATAGTGGCTTGATGATCTACTGAATAAAACTTCGACATTTGAAGCGATAGGTCCCAAGTTCGAGTCCCATTCGGGATAATATCTCCCGCTGGGAAGCAGGTACATCCAGCTGAGGAGTCCCAAGTAGGACGAAAACCGCCTCCTAGATTCCACTCCTTACCAGTATCCATCATTATTAAGCATTATTATTATTAATGGGAAAGAACTGACCACAAGGGCACTTCTTGAAGTATAATGTAAGGTTATGGCTAACTAGTGCCAGCAGTTGGCTTTAAAATCAATTAGTCACCGGCTGTAACTTGGCTGCATCTATCCAGGTCCTGGAATTCAGGTTTTATGGTTAGCTTTAACACAATAGGTGAAGCTAATTATCAACTCCATAAACATGCATATGGTGACTAAGTTTTTTTGTGAAAATTAAATTTGTTTTTCTACTTCCTCCTACCAAAAGTTGTTTTAGAATTGGTTGCTAAATAATTTGATGCTTAAGACTGTGTTTATTTTGCTAAATGTGTCTTGTAAGAAGTTCAAAACTTGCTCATAAGATTAACAATTACCTCTGTCATATTTCAATATTTGGTGCGAGTAGTTCTTGATGGTTTGATTTCCAATTAGTGTTTGATATTTCCAGATGATGTAAGTGTATTTAGGTGCCAATAGGGTAACATACTTAGAAGTTGTAACCTATTCTGTAACCTATCCGTAGAAATCGTTGTAAACTGAACTCCACCAGGTGTCAGTTTTGAAAGAATCCATTACGATTTTAGAGTATAAGGATATACCGCAGGGTGTCAGCAAGGATATAAGTAAAGTTTGGTCAATTTTACTACATACACTCCCATGTTGACAGTAGACGTATGCACATCCAGCTGATTAGTCTCAAGTAGGGCGAAAGGCGCTAGCCACAACCAAACAAATAACCACAACTCACAATCAGGCGATATCGAGGCATCCATTTAGGAGCCCATATGCCAATAGAGGTCGAACAATTCTATTCAGTAAAAACAAGGGAGGATTACAAGTATATTAATAAATTAATCGTAATAGCTAATGCCCGCCGTACAAAAAGTGCCTATCGTTTCTCCGTGGCATAGAGGATAACGCCTTGTCGTTTGAAACGATGCTTACGAGGTTTGAGTCTCAATGGGGACGACATCACTCCCCACTGGGGTCCAGGTATATGCAGTTGACGAGTTCGTGGTTTGGCGGACTAGTGTTTATGCTGCAGCTATCTCAGATAATCAAACTGATAATCGATATGATACTCTGCCACTCTAATTGAGTTAGATTGAGACTGGGATGAGAAGTCCTGACTAGGCAGCAGCCAGTATGAATACGATCAAGCTACAATAACATGTAACAAATTCACAAAGTAGTCTAATAAAACTTTTGGCAATTGAAGTGGAATAAAAATTTGGTCAGCAGTCAAACTTCTTAGGTCACTTGGTAGAGTATCGGGCTGGAAATCCGGTAGTCACTGATTCGAATCTTGCTCTGGTCCAAATTTTCATTTCATCTTTAATTATAACTTAGTATAATGAGTTAAAAACATTGAATCATGATATGCCTATGTAGTTACACTACCATCAAAAGCACCGTATAGGTATTGGATCAATAATGTAAATAGTAGAGCTGTGTCTTAATGCAACCTGACAAAATTACTAAAAACAGGCTGATTTTCTAAGCGAGGTCACATGCATGATTACACTACTGATTATTAGTAAGTAGCACAAAAAAAAAGGAAAAAGGTAGTGTTAAATCCATACTCATAGTATATATATATATACAATAGTGATCGATGGTGGCAGGGAGTGAAGTCCAGGATGCGAGTTTCGACCCACTTAGGACTCGTCAGCTGGATATACCTATCTCTCAGTGAGCGATAATATTCCCAAGCATCGACATTATTATGTTTTCTATGATTATTTTATATAAGTAGTATGACACTACGTCTACTATATAGCTCAGATAATCTTTCTGGAAGTTCAAGTGAAATACACGTCAGTAGTTAATTTACTGCTGGTATTTTTTCAGAAAACAGAATTACTTCAGATACATCAACTGGTGATATTCCATATATATTCAACTGGATGTTGGAATTATCTTTACAGGTTAAATATAAATTTCTAAATAACATGATAATATTACAGTCTTTTCAGTTTATGCATTTCTATGATGTAGACATTTTGTTCTAATCAATATAACTTGTAATAATTTGTATACTGTATAGTAGAGTAATAATTATCTAAACAATATTATTATATACTGATCAGTATTCAATTAATATTTATTTCAATATTTTACAGCTTTCACAAATATACCAGTTTTAACGTCTGAGGTGATAGATATGGATAAGTCAGTTACCTATGGAAAACTTGGTCAAATTATGTTATATCTAAGGATTGAGATGAATTATACAAATTACTGTTCAATATTATATGAGTTTCATATAAGTATATATCATGATGATAAAAATACTTCAGTGATTGTTTCGCCTAATTCTGGTATGATGATTTACAGTAATTTTTTAATTGTCTACAATGTTATTTGCTAAAATGAAAAGTGTATGTAAGTTTATGAACTTACAATTATTATGATTTGTACATTGGGTTCCTAGTGGAACATAGGGCTTCAGTAGCACGTCTCCATTACATTCTCAGCTCTGCAATCTTTTCAACCTCGCTCCACAACTGCCTTCAAGCTATCATTTCTTCCTCAAACCGTTTCCTCCATGTCACTCTCCCTACAGACTACCAACTCGTCGTTCCCCATCTGAGTTCCTCTCAAATACCTGGCCTGGCGCGTGATGTCCTTAGACGACCTTCTAAATGTATGCCCAATCCACCTCCACTTCCTTCCACTGCATATTTGTTGAGTGATAGCTTCTTCCTTTGTTGGTTCGTCGCCAGCCAGCCAGAGTTCCTTGTTGCTTATTCTTTCTGTCCATCTCAGCTTCAGTGACGAGCTAGAGTAAGCAGTTGTTGATGAATGTCTCTAGTTTGTTGGAAATGCCATTCGTAACGCACCAAGTCTCTGAGCCATACGGAAGCACTGACTTGATGTTGGTGTTGAAAATCCGGTCCCCTTTCACGCTTTGTGCTGAGTGGAGAAGATCTCCACACTGATTTCAGATTAATGCAGGAAAACCTGTCTTGCTGTGTTTCTAATCATATCTTTGACGTCCTCGTCTGTGCCACTACCGCCTGTAGTTGAAACGATACTGCCTAGTTGGTAGGTGAGAGAGACTACTTCCTTTAATTTTCTCCCATTGATGGCGATTGCAGCTTGTTGTTATTGTTGGTTGTGATGTTTATGCACTTGGTATATATATATATATATATATATATATATATATATATATATATATATATATATATATATATATGGTTGAAAGAGCATGCCATCGGTAACCCATTGGCCCCTAGTTTGAATCCTGTCACAGCATAGATTTTTATACTGCCTTCAATCATCAACATATACCTCTCTCTCTCTCATCACATATAGTAGAGTATTTCACAGTTATCAATGGTAAAATTATTGCATCTGATATCATCCTAGCTGAGGACGTTCCATCATATATCCGGATCAACCTAAAACAGGGCATTACTGCGTAACGGTTCAACTGGCTACACCTCATATCAGTACATCATGTTAAAAGGCAGTGAAGTGGAAGATGAAGATAAGAGAATGCAGTCACAAGAAATATAAAGTAAAAAAAAAGAGAGAAACGAAGAATGAGAAGACGGTGAGATTCGGTATAACGTCTTTAAGATGAGGATAAAATGTGTATAAGTTTGCGCCACTGACATAGGTTCTCAGCCATATCACCTACAGTCAGTCTCCAACCACTGGTTCCTCTCCTCCCGCCAACCACAACCAACTAGTATGCATCGCCCCACATAACTCGAGCAAACAGTCAAAGAATTCACACATTCATGTCATGTTTTTGTCTGGCCACCTCAGGCCCTTTCCAGCCTGCACCTACTTCGCTCAACATTCTGTGATGAGGCAGATGACAACTAAGCATACGTAACACATGTCTCAGCCAGCCATCTCACTCGATGAACATTCATAACCTCATCAACTGATTTACCTCTCCTCTACCCCTAAAACTCTACACCTAACTTCTGAGTTACTCATGTGTTGACACCACGGAATACGACCTATACTACGAAGGTGACGGTGGTCAAACACCTGAAGCCAGCCTTCTCATATCTTCCACCTTGAATGGGCATGTTTCACAGTCAGTAGAACAGTAGAGTGGAGTTGACTTCAGTGCAGTGCAGAACATGGTATCTTTAGTAGACGAATGGATATCACGGTTGTGCCATAGGTGTCATGAGTTGGCGAAAGCCAACTGAGCCTTATGTATTTGTGCAGAGATTTCATCGGCAACTGACCATTGCACCGGGTCTGATACTACTTCCTAGGTAAGTGAAGTGATTGACACACTCAACTACTTCACTCTCTATTGTTATTCGCATAAGGGGCCCCTTCGAAGACCAATCCTAGAACAACAATTTGCATTTGGTTGGTGAGAAACGCATCCCAAACATTTTCAAATTCCCACTCAAAGTGTTCAGAAGACTCTGCATGTTGTCAGTGTTTTCACCTAACAGGAATGTGTCATTTGTATATTCTAGGTTTGACGAAAATTCTCCTGTGATTAGGTCAACGTCTGTGTAACGTGGTGACAAGAGGGAGACCTCCATAAGAATATGTATGATGAAATTGAATAAGAATAGAGACAGTGGGCACCCTTGCATGCTTCAGGTGATCTGCAACTCAATGATTTCATTATAATACCTATCATCTTTTTGCATATCTTGCCATAGGATGAAAAGCATGTTATTCGAGAAAGGTGAATGAGTTTTGTCAATTTTGAACACTGTATGTTTCAACATTCGAAAATTGTTGATTGTTGTTGGGGAGGAAGCGAGACGTTGTTGACAGTTGTCGTTGAAATGATGAGTATAATAGTGTAACGTCGAGGGACACCATTATTTGTATGAATGCTCGTGGTGGTTTTGAAACGAATTTGTCAGTTATTTTGTGGTATACTCACATGACTTCGCAAAGGTATCATAGGACCCTCAAAACACGCTGGATAGATTGTAACCTGGAGTCAAAAGCAGTGAGGTTATTGAGTGTAGGGGATTCATCTATCTTAAAAGTGAAAAGGAACAGGTCTATTCGATTCTGTTTATCGTTAATGTTATCTTGTTATTTTTCAGTGATCTGGTTGTGAAGCCCTTGAACAGGACTGACATTTCAAGTGATTAAAGAAGTAGAATTTAGTACTGGCAATGTTTTTTAAATAGACAAGAAAGGCTAATGACTAAACCATGCAGATCAGAGAACCCGATAAAAGGAATAAAACCTGATTTATAGCAGATTTTCAACCAGTAGATTCTGAATTACTAAACCAACACTTTATCACTTTGGCTAGGAGTCGTAAATATGTGAAATATTCCATTTTTCTTTGCTAATCGCTTTTTTAATCTCATTTATAGAAGTTTACTTCAGAAAAAATATTCAACAAGGACTTTTATATCAAGTACGCGGAAGAGTACGTTCCAATGAATCAGTCTATTCTCCAACACTACGTGATGAAATGAACATGTTTAAATTCAGTCAGTGGACTCCATTAAATTTGGTATATGTTAATATGTGTAAGTTGAAAATGAAATTGACACATTTATGGATACTTTAAAGTCTGTCCAACTGAATGTGTTTAATTATTCGTTTCTAAGGAGGAAACTAATCCAGGATACGACATTGAATGTGTGGTAAGATGCCTTAGTGTTATAGTTTACATAAAGTTGAGATTTCACAAGCCCTAACTGTTTCCATGTCAGCCAAGTATCACTTATCAGTGGGTTGACTTCTACTTAAGCGCATATGGATGAAAATGATGCGCATAACGGGCCATGCACTCATACTAACGAAGAATGCTCTAAAGTCCAAGATATCCACCTTGACCTCCTTTGCAAAGACAACAGTGATTGCCTGACCTGGGTAAGCAGGGTAAGGCCTACTGTATCTCACACTCATTTACTATTCCAACGTGGTTAGACTGCATCACTTATGCATTTCAGCCCTTAATGTCTAAGTGGTTAGTCGAAAATTGATAAGACTGAGAAGTCAGTCAATGGCTACTCTTCCGAAGGCCCATTCCCCAGCAGAAAGGGAAAATACAAGCTGATGCAGTCACTGCAATCCATACTAGAGACTGAGGCAAGCACACTGATCACCTTGACGCTACCAAGATGTCACTCGGAGGAGGCAACATGCACATAGCCCACATCCTTCAATATACTTCACATGCATCGTGAAGTGCACACCATCCTGTCGCCCATGATATATTAGAGAGCATATCGCCGTAAGAAACACCTTGAGCTCTCAGGTTAGGTAGGCGAGAAGGTTTGTGTATGTGTGGTTATCTCCAGCATAAGTGGGTTTTTTAATTCTCAACCACTGAGCTGAATGGAAAGACTATGATTTGGCTTGCAGGTTAGTATCTAGCGGGAACCAAGAGAAGGTTTGCCGTCGTAGAAGTAGAATCCCTAGCCTAGTAAATATTTAAGTCGGGAAATACAGTTTAAATGAGTACCGTTGATCAAGCGTCTGTTCTCTGACTCAAATTACCCACGGCAATAATTATGTGACCAGGTATTTGATTACATTCAGAAGGTCATAGTTACTTAAATACTCTGACGGCCAGACAGCCAGCCAGCCAGTCAGCCAGCCAGAGTTCTTTGTTGCTTATTCTTTATGACCTTCTCATCTGAGCTTCAGTAACGAGCCAGCGTAGGCTGCAGTTGTTGATGAATATCTGTAGTTTGTTGGAAATACCTTTCGTAACGCACCAAGTCTCTCAACCATCACATAGAAGCACTGACTCACTTGACTGATATGAGTGTTGAAAATCGGTATGTTGTTCACGCTTTATGCTGAGTTGAGTGGAGAAGATCTCCACAGTGGTTTCGGGTTAATGAATTCCTGTCTTGCTGTCTTTTCGATGGTGGGTGGATTTGACGTCCTCGTCTGTGCTTGTGTCGTCTGTGGTTGAAACGATGCTGCCTAGTTGGTAGGTGAAAGAGGCTACTTCCTTTAATTTTCTCCTGTTGATGGTGATTGGAGCTTGTTGTGTTACTGCGAAAACTGTGCGTTATTATTGACCTTAAAGGGAACCTCTGGATTAAGTTGAAGCCGAAAACGTCACCTAGTCCTGCTATGAGACGTTCACAAACAAACATTAAAGCTCACAAAACACCAAAGCGTTATCATCCTCATCGTAAGCTACAAATTCCGAATATGCCAACGTGTGCTTAAGTTCAGTTTCTTTTCATTTCTGTTCAATTAAGTTATCATTTTGCTAACAGAAAGTGAAATTTCTTTCATAAATAATTATCTTGTGAATGCCCAGTCAGTTAGTCAGATAACCATCCACTTTAAGCGCGTTTCGTCCTATTTGAGACTCGTCAGTTGGATGTGCCTGCACCTCAGTGAGTGATGTTGTTCCCACTGAGACTGAAACCTTGTATCCATCGCTTCGAACGCAAAAACGGTATCCACCATTCCACAGATGAACAATAGCTACTTCTTGTACAACGGGTAGTAGTTATTACTATTTACTGTCATACTTGTTATTCTCTGTTGTTTGTTGGATCAAATTGTTTGGCCTCCAGCTGACGAATCCCAAATAGGACGAAATGTGCATCCTGAGTTCTACTGCTAGCCACAACCAACCAATTCATCAGAAACAAAGATTATTTGTTCTGTATGTGGAAAGTTTTGAAACGAATGGTAAGTTTTGATGTATAGAGATTTTATATCGAGATAAGAACCAATGAGACATTAGAATCAATCCGAAATCAGTCAATTATTAACTCAGAACTTAATCATCGACCTATGATATTGGTCACAGAGATCATGTTAGGTGTACATTTGTGTTCAACCTCAACAATCTTTACCCGAGTTAAACAGGAATATATCCATTTATTCATTAACAAGAAAATTTGGAATTGGGACACTCAGCACCTCAAGATCCATCCTTTAAAATTATTTACAAAGTTGAATTGAACTACTCTAAAGGTTTACGTTTCCACCACTTACTTATGCACAGCTGAAGCATTAGGTATATATGAACAAAAACCGAAACTTTGTATTCGAAAAGGTTTTGTGAAACCACCTTCTCTACCTTGACCTTAATAATCCAGTTTTATTGATTTTGTCAATTTCATTTCAACCTCACCTGGTTAACTAGTACACTGGTTACTAGCCGGTCGTAATCCGGGGTAAAGAGTGAAGGTTGGGAGTAGGGCTAGCAATCCTACCCCTTAAAACAGATCCAATCGCTAACGAAACTTCAAAGCACAAACAGTTTGGTATACTTCCCTTTATCATCATCATCATCACTAATTTTCACTTCATTGACAACACTTGAACCATATTTCACTATTTAATATCAATTCCCTGGCTTATTCATTCACCTATTTTACATGTTTCAGTTTAATTATATCACCGTTTTACAATTGTTTGACAACACTTGTCGCTTATCTCACCACTTGTTATCAATTCGTTCCTTATTCACAGTGATCCATTTTCTATCTCTTCCATTTGAACAAATACCACCACCTACACGGATTGTATAAATTGCATATTGACTGAGCAAGTCTTTTTTTCGTGTAATGAAGTGTGACTTTACCGAGTATAAATAGGACTGCTGTACAGCTTGATATAATGAAGTGGTTGAAAAGAAAGCTTCTTCTTCTTCTTCACTGATACATGCCTTGTTCTTGTCAAACAGGAATCCAGAAACAATGAGAACACTACTTACAAATTGCATACACTGAGGAAATAATGTGTGTAATGCTGACATTGTATGGTTCGTGCACAGATACTACATGCAAAGCATAAGTAGTGCACTCAGTAAGTAAATGGTTGAGAAAATGAGGAATTAACGTCGATTGCTTGTCCTACGTGTGCAGCATATTTTCACTAACTTCACCAATCAGTTTATGCATGTAATCTGGTGAAGTTATCCCTACTCTGTCTGTCATTTTAGAACTTCCGAATCATTGTTAGCGTGTAAGGATTGTCAGGTCATACGGATGAAGAAATTTGTTTAACTGCATACGGAATTTGTGGGCATCATCACATTTCAACACATTCATGATACAGTTTATTGCCAAGCTTGTGTTCCTATCATCATTATGTTTCACTTGTGATGCTGACCTTCTCAGAAACACTATAGTAACCTTGACACCACATGCAGCGTACTTTTCATCACCCTTCTCTTCCTCCAAGACAGACTTTGGAACGCTTCTTATTTCTCAGATTCATGTAGCACAAAATGTTGTGTTATGTTCATGAGAAGAGATTCACAACTTCATTTGACTTCGATAAACTTATTCATAATGCATACTGCATTCATACTGCATTGCTTATGCAAACACTGGATACTGGTTGTATGAGTCCATAGCACTGACCACTCATCACCAACGCATATCTGTAATGATGAAGATGTATCACAATTATGTAAGTAGTTGTTTGAAGATTAGCATCTTTTTTCAATTCCCAACACATCACAACCAACTTTCTCTCACTTCCTCTTCATTTCACAGCTCACTTTGATGTTGTCAACTTCACTGTAACTGCAGAAAGACCAACTGAAACACCAAGACAACCTGGTGGTTACTACTATTCATGCTCACCTACTATAACCAAACAAATTGATCACTCACTATCACAATCCACCTACAAGAATTCAGATGTCAAATTTTTAAACAAAAATCTATTGGACAAGAATAGTTATTGCTTCGACTTAAGTTGGAATATTATCGGTTCCCTTGAAGGTTTAGTAGGCTTCGCTATTCAATTCTTTCTACCTGTTGAACAAAATTCATTGAAAAGTCGAAGCTTAGTTGAAGATGGTAATCATTATGATTTCCCATGGGTTAAAATTGCACGTGATCAATCGACAACAGAAATTCAACAATGTATACAGTTTGTTTGGTTACCTTGCCTTCGATGTTTGAAAAACTACTCGATTGTAAGTTGTAGACAGTAGTGGAAATTCTTTATTCTTATCATCCTTTTTATAACTGCGATAGAATACAATAGCGCACATTATTTATATCTGGTTATCAAGAGGGGTAGTATCTAATTGATGTATAAGGCTAGTTTAAGCCTATGAGATCAACTAGGATGATGGTGAAAATATGGATAACTTCTAAACAGCAATTGTTTTCATAACTCCAGTTCCAAGATGACAATTTCAGTGAGATCGTAGCATAATGCACCGGAATTGCAGTCAGAGAGACATTCAATACAATAAACTCTATGCTGTCTGCTTCTTTAACCGGTCGATGTTGGTATCACAAACTAAAGACGGACTGCCTCAATTCATCTCTTCTTCATGTAGGCCACAGTTTAACTGCCAATCAACTTGTGACTACGATAAGACAAGTACATCGTTGCATCGGTGAAGAATATACATCATGGTCGAGTAAAAGGTAAAAGGAACCCAGTTGGCATTGGATATCGAGTCAATGTGAATGAGTCATTTACAGGAATTGATGACGTCTCAATCATCGAAGTCTTCCAAGCCAGATGAATGTACTCAATAGAAGTTTGTACTGCCTCTGCCTTTACCATAGTTAATCACATAGTCTTACTTAATATCCATGAAGCATGTCGAGATTTCTCTTTCATCTGCCACTTGCTATCCTCATCTAACTAGTGTCAACAACTGACCATCGGATATGATTATTCATCCTTTTTATTCACCACCATGATTACGTAACTCATTGATGAAGCAACAGACTGTTCTAATCTTCACAACAAAATCATATGTAGCTGTTCTATTTCCTTCATTTCCAGGATCAGTTATCAGCCTTTTTTGATACTGTAAAATTGACCGTTTTAATCACCAAACTGATTTTCATATGAATTGTAATGATAAGCGAGAGAAGTGTATGGGGTAGTATAGAGTCAATGGTGATGAGATTATTCAAAATATGTAACCTAATAGTTAAGTCTGTGAATTCTGCACTGAGTGATTGATACAGCTGTAAGTTACTAAGTGATTATTAGTTTCGATATGCTTCTAGATATTACTTGTTGATCATTGTCAGTAATCACAAAATAGAAGTGATCCAGGCATTCCTGCTGATTGCTTACTAGTATCTAAGTAATATGTAGTTGTTTCCATTCTTAGAAATAAAACAGTATCTTTGTAGGGATATAAAGATTTCAAGGTAGCGTTGATCATGGACCGATATCAGTTCGAAAACGGTTGGCAAACCGGAAAGAACTCGACAGCTATTTCGTCGTTGATTAGGATTCCATCACTTAGATATCCACTGGTTGTTATCAGAAGCCTGAAAGTGTGAGGCCATCAAAGGTGGAATTGAAGTTGATGTCACCTGATGACTAGCTGATGATGAATAGTCACATTATTTTGCAAACTGACAGAAGTAAGAATTTGAATTCAATTAGACTTCTATGAAATGCTTAAATGGTAACTTATTCCCAGCAAAACCCTTAGGTTCTAAGTCTGACACCAAACAAAGTCATGTGTACGTGTTGATGAGATGTCCAACATCAGGACGAAACATCTATCCATTACTTCCAGGTTTTCACTAGTTCTCTAAATGATGTTAGTCCGTGATAACTACTATTTTCTTTCCTTATTATTATTCATGATCCTTTGGTTTCATTTTCTTTTCCTTTTTATACATTTTACTAGAAAAATGCTCATCCTCGTGTTTTGAAAAAGTTAGAAAAGCTGATAAATGTTTGTCAAACTAATAAACCTCATCATTCTACACAATATCAGATTTCTGCTATTCATAATATATCGGTAGATTTATCTCATCATATTAATAACAACTATCCAACTGAAGGTTATAACTTAATATCGAATGTAAAGGAACTGGAAACACGATTAAACTCCCTACAAATCGATAATTCTAACCATATTACATTGAATCAAACAGTCTACAGATTTCAGTATCATATTACACCAATAATAGACATACTTTCATCGTCTACCTCAACATCTTCAATACTTAGAAAACGTATCTCACGTTTATCTTCCTCAAAGATATCATTAACTCCTTCTAAACTAGCTGGCAATGAGCCAAAGAATATTGGTTATGTAATTTTGTATTCGGTCACTGCAAACGATGTTATTTATAAGGTAACAAGAAAATGGCAATTGAATGGTAAGAAATTTAATCCTGTGCAAAAATTTGTTAACTATCAGGATGCTATTGGAAAATTTCTTATTGTTTTCATCATCAACATCATCAACATAGGACTAGGCACTACCGCATAGCTGTCCGAGTTGCTATACTTCATATCAGTACATCAAGTAAAAAGGCAGTGAAGTGGAAGATGGTGAGATTCCGTATAGCGATTAAGATGAGGGTAATGTGTGTATGTATACATCTGCGCCACTGATATCGGCTCTCAGCCATTATCACCTACAGTCAGTCTCCAACCACAGGTTCCTCTCCTCCCGCCAACCTAAACCAACTAGTATGCATCGCCCCACATAACTCGAACAAACAGTCAGAAACTTCACACATTCATGCCATGTTTCAGTCTGGCCACCTCAGGCCCTTTCCAGCCTGCACCTACTTCGCTCAACATTCTGTGATGAGGCAGACGACAAATAGGCATACGTAACACATGTCCAGCCAACCATCTCACTCGATGAACATTCATAACCTCATCAACTGATTTACCTCTCCTCTACCCCTAAAACTCTACACCTAACTTCTGAGTTACTCATGTGTTGACACCACGGAATACGACCTATACTACGAAGGTGACGGTGGTCAAACACCTGAAGCCAGCCTTCTCATGTTTTCCACCTTGAATGGGCATGTTTCACAGCCAGTAGAAGAGAAGAGTGGAGTGACTGCAGTGCAGTGCAGTGCAGAACATGGTATCTTTAGTAGACGAATGGATATCACGGTTGTGCCATAGGTGTCATGAGTTGGCGAAAGCCAACTGAGCCTTATGTATTTGTGCAAAGATTTCGTCGGCCACTGAGTTAAGAGGGCTCTTATTGCTTACAGTAACCCGATTCCCTCTATTGGATTTACCTTTTTTATTACTTACAAGATTCCATAAGTCCTCAGTACATACATCGCTGGATAAGCAGATTTCTACTTGCTCAATGGATCGAAATTATTTGAAGACGCCTGAAGTTCTGGAAGCATTAGAGAGGTGTTTTGTCCATTTTAAGGGATTCTTTAACTTTAGGCTTTGACGTCACTGTGGAGGATTGAGTCTCTCATCGTCAGGTTCCACTTATTCAACATGTCAGAATCCAACGCTTTGTATTTCGTCATTTTTCTGGACTCAGTTTGAGATGCGTTTCTCAAAAATCTGATGATGGAAGGCTATGACCTGGGAAATGAACAAAGTTAGGTGTGAGGATATATACTCACTGATGATGGTGTCTGATGGTTACACCATATAACAGCTTAACAGTAGAGAGAGAATGTGAACATAGGATTTCTACTCATTGACTGAATGGTACCGTGCTGACTGAGAGAGACAAGGTGGCTTTAGGATCTTTCACACATGTGGTTGTAACCTTATATAGCTGAGAATTTTTATACCAAAACAAGATTTGTGTTCAATACCTACAGTTTTCAATCAATTGATCCTTAATTGACGTCAGTTATTGATGAATATATACATCAGATGATAGTTTAGCTCGTTAAGAGGGAGACTCATCAGCTGTGTACCCAAACAAACTCAACTTAAAAAGTCAAACTAGTTCAGACCATCTGAATCTGGACGACCAGCATACCTAAAATAGAATGATCGGTTTCTAAATGATTTCGAAATTCCACAGTCCACATTTATAACAGATGAGTAATTTCTTTCAACTATCATCCATCAAGAATTGTGAGCTTTGAACTGAAAGTGTCATCAATTAGCAGAACAAGTTGAGTGATTAGAAATCACTTGTGCACAAGAACTCATCCACTGATTATGATGTTTAGTATGACAATGAGACTTTCACCAACTGAAATTCTAACTGATCGGACGAACAACTTAATGTTAACAAACTGTCAGGAGTTTGTTGCACTTACACCACAGGATATTCAATAAGATGTGTAGTTTTTGAAGATCAGATATTTGTTGTCAATATTTTGTTTGGCATTTCAATGGATTGATAAATTCTATAAGCTGTTAAAATCAGTCAGTCAGCAATCAATAGACATATTGGCACTGAACTAATCTATGAACCAATAAGAAACAACAAGAAGGTCAAGGTTAAGGTCATCAGGATAACCAATCAAAATAAACATGAGGACAATGACAAGACCTTGGTAGAAACAAGGAATTACACTTAAGGCAATCAGGACAAGTGAGAAAACTGTATAGCTCACTTCTTTATGAAGTTTATGCTGATGATATTGTCTAGAATGAGAAGGAAAGTTTCATGAAATTTTAATTTTTGATTAGCTACATTTTTACAAGTCCAAAATTTATGGGAGCTAGAAGAGGGGCATACGCTGGACTACGGAAAAGAATCTAGAAGTCTTGCATTTCGCCCATCATGATCTATGTCAAATATCACACAAACTCGAAGATCTACTGGCGAAAACTAACAAGTTGACAGAAGAGGCAGGGTAGTGAGGGAAGATGGCACTTCAAGTGAATGTAGAGAAGACAGTGGTGATGATGATACACAACGAACACCACCATCACCAACAACAACAAGTTCCAATCACCATCAACAGGAGAAACTTAAAGGAAGTAGCCCATTTCACCTACCAACTAGGCAGCATCGTTTCAACTACAGACGACACAAGCACAGACGAGGATGTCAAATCCATCCAGGATCAGAACCACAGCAAGACAGGCATTCATTAACCTGAAACCAGTGTAGAGATCTTCTGCACTCAGCATGTGGAACAAGATCGGTTTTTCAACATCAATTCAGTCAAGCGAGTCAGTGCTTCTATGTGATGGTTGAGAGACTTGGCGCGTTACGAAAGGGATTTCCAACAAACTACAGATATTCATCAACAACTGCCACCTACGCTGGCTCGTTACTGAAGCTCAGATGAGAAGGCCTGAAAGGATGAGCAACAAGGAACTCTGGCTGGCTGACTGGTAACGCACAAACAAAGCAAGAAGCAATCGTTCAACAAATATGCAGTGGAAGGAAGTGGAGATGGATTGGACATACACTGAGAAGACTGACTGAGGACATCAGGTGTCAGGCTAGATGCTCGAGTGGAATCCAGATGGGAAACAGTGAGTTGGGCTTTGGAGGTGAGGGTGACATTGAGGAGATGGTATGAGGAAGAAATGAGAGCTTGTCGAGAAGCCAGGTTGAAAAGATTGCAGAGATGAGAGTGTAATGGAGATGTGCTACTGAAGCCGTATTTTCCACTAGGAACCCAAGGGACAAATAATGATAATCGGCTTAGAAAAACACCAAGAATGAGGAAGGTGCAGACATCTATTTTGCTTCAGTATAATATTTTACTTATGAGAATGAAAATAACAACAGTTAACTTGACGCGTCAAGTTTTCCAAACTCCGTCGTTTAATGTGGTGTGAAGTCTATCACCCGAAATTAGTCAAGAATCATCTTGGAGCATACCTAAAACTGCTGCTTTCTAAAGCCTTCTAAACTTTTTATGCATCTGTATACGGAATCTATTAGCTACAAAAAGCTGTCTGACTGATAAAATCAGCTTAGGATCTCGTACACAATATGGATTGACTCAAGTTGCCACATTTCATTGTGGTAGTATACAAAGAACATGTGAGTAGTAGTCAAAGTTGTGGGAGAGGATAAACACTTTGAAGTTAATGAGTAGCGTGAATATTCGAGCTTAAGAAGACATAAATGAGTAAATGCATCTGTGTCATTGTAACCGGTTTCCAGCCATATCATCGATAGTTCTCAATCAATGATTTCTTTCATCTAGGGGACCCCTAACCAGGTAGGGCGTCTATATTTCCCTACACAACTCAAACCACTAGTCAAGGACTTCATCAACTGGTGGTACATCTGGTCACTCTGAACTTTCTTTCAACTAATTCAACTTCCCATATCATAAATTGCACGTAAAGGAGGTACCAGTAGACCGGCATGCACAGCACATGTTCAAGCTATCTCAGTTGATGAAAGCTTACAACCACACTTATTGACTTAACTTTCATGCTTAGTACTTTCCACTTTCAACTACTTCTTTAAACATTACAAGGGACTACATCGTGTGCATTTCTACTTCCTGATCTTAATCTTCGCTTATTTTCCCATATATCTTGTTATCTAATATATGAAAACTTTCCAATTTCTCCGTTTGACTTCTAGTTGGTTAACCAAATCACAGCTACATTATTAAATGTTTGGAAGATTTGGATTTCGCTAATGACTTATGTCTAATGTCACACAAACTCGAAGATCTACTGGCGAAAACTAACAAGTTGACAGAAGAGGCAGGGCAGTGAGGGAAGATGGCACTTCAAGTGGACATAAAGAAGACGGAGGTGACGAAGATATCGAACCAACACCACCATCACCAACAACAACAAGTTCCAATCACCATCAACAGGAGAAACTTAAGGAAGTAGCCCATTTCACCTACCAACTAGGCAGCATCGTTTCAACTACAGACGACACAAGCACAGACGAGGATGTCAAATCCATCCAGGATCAGAACACAGCAAGACAGGCATTCATTAACCTGAAACCAGTGTAGAGATCTTCTGCACTCAGCATGTGGAACAAGATCTGGTTTTTCAACATCAATTCAGTCAAGCGAGTCAGTGCTTCTATGTGATGGTTGAGAGACTTGGCGCGTTACGAAAGGGATTTCCAACAAACTACAGATATTCATCAACAACTGCCACCTACGCTGGCTCGTTACTGAAGCTCAGATGAGAAGGCCTGAAAGGATGAGCAACAAGGAACTCTGGCTGGCTGACTGGTAACGCACAAACAAAGCAAGAAGCAATCGTTCAACAAATATGCAGTGGAAGGAAGTGGAGATGGATTGGAGTATTCAGGGACATCACGCGCCAGGCACCTAAGTGGAACCCAGATGGGAAACAGTGAGTTGGGCTTTGGAGGTGAGGATGACATTGAGGAGATGGTGTCAGCAAGAAATGAGACTTTCTGGCTGTTGTGGAGCCAGGTTGAAAAGTTTGAAGAGAAGAGGGTGGGATGGAGACGTGCTACTGAAGCCGTATTTTCCACTAGGAACCCAAGGGACAAATAATAATAATACTGATATACGCAATCATACTTTCAGCAAACAATAGGAGTCAAAAATCACAGAATAGTAAAAATATGGGGTTAATATTTGCCTACGAAAAGTGTCGCTAGTAAATGTCTTAGTTCTATTATGTAAGTAAACAGGACTAAAACATTTCCTCTTGGTAACCATCTTCGTTAGTATCGATGGAATCCAGTATACGGTGTTCTTACTACTTTCGACTCACCAGCTACATATACCAGCACACCGATGTGTTATACTGCTCCCACTGCGACTCGAGCCATGCTCGCATCACTTCAAATGCCAAACCGCTACCCATTTGACCAATGAGGTACGGGAGCTACCTCTTTTACTACGGGTGACAATTGTTGTTTTCATACCTATAATTTCCTGTTGCTATACACGACTAAATCGCTCGTTCACAAATCGGCTCCTAACCAACTAACTAACTGGCTAAATAATCAACTGATTAACCAATTAAATGACTAACTAACTAACTAACTGATTGACTAAATAACTGACTATTTATCTAACTATCTAACTAACCACCTTACTAGCCGGCCAATTAACCAACTAATTAAATGACCAACAGCTAACTAACTAACTAACTAACTAACTAACTAACTAACTAACTAACTAACTAACTAACTAACTAACTAACTAACTAACTAACTAACTAACTAACTAACTAACTAACTAACTAACTAACTAACTAACTAACTAACTAACTAACTAACTAACTAACTAACTAACTAACTAACTAACTAACTAACTAACTAACTAACTAACTAACTAACTAACTAACTAACTAACTAACTAACTAACTAACTAACTAACTAACTAACTAACTAACTAACTAACTAACTAACTAACTAACTAACTAACTAACTAACTAACTAACTAACTAACTAACTAACTAACTAACTAACTAACTAACTAACTAACTAACTAACTAACTAACTAACTAACTAACTAACTAACTAACTAACTAACTAACTAACTAACTAACTAACTAACTAACTAACTAACTAACTAACTAACTAACTAACTAACTAACTAACTAACTAACTAACTAACTAACTAACTAACTAACTAACTAACTAACTAACTAACTAACTAACTAACTAACTAACTAACTAACTAACTAACTAACTAACTAACTAACTAACTAACTAACTAACTAACTAACTAACTAACTAACTAACTAACTAACTAACTAACTAACTAACTAACTAACTAACTAACTAACTAACTAACTAACTAACTAACTAACTAACTAACTAACTAACTAACTAACTAACTAACTAACTAACTAACTAACTAACTAACTAACTAACTAACTAACTAACTAACTAACTAACTAACTAACTAACTAACTAACTAACTAACTAACTAACTAACTAACTAACTAACTAACTAACTAACTAACTAACTAACTAACTAACTAACTAACTAACTAACTAACTAACTAACTAACTAACTAACTAACTAACTAACTAACTAACTAACTAACTAACTAACTAACTAACTAACTAACTAACTAACTAACTAACTAACTAACTAACTAACTAACTAACTAACTAACTAACTAACTAACTAACTAACTAACTAACTAACTAACTAACTAACTAACTAACTAACTAACTAACTAACTAACTAACTAACTAACTAACTAACTAACTAACTAACTAACTAACTAACTAACTAACTAACTAACTAACTAACTAACTAACTAACTAACTAACTAACTAACTAACTAACTAACTAACTAACTAACTAACTAACTAACTAACTAACTAACTAACTAACTAACTAACTAACTAACTAACTAACTAACTAACTAACTAACTAACTAACTAACTAACTAACTAACTAACTAACTAACTAACTAACTAACTAACTAACTAACTAACTAACTAACTAACTAACTAACTAACTAACTAACTAACTAACTAACTAACTAACTAACTAACTAACTAACTAACTAACTAACTAACTAACTAACTAACTAACTAACTAACTAACTAACTAACTAACTAACTAACTAACTAACTAACTAACTAACTAACTAACTAACTAACTAACTAACTAACTAACTAACTAACTAACTAACTAACTAACTAACTAACTAACTAACTAACTAACTAACTAACTAACTAACTAACTAACTAACTAACTAACTAACTAACTAACTAACTAACTAACTAACTAACTAACTAACTAACTAACTAACTAACTAACTAACTAACTAACTAACTAACTAACTAACTAACTAACTAACTAACTAACTAACTAACTAACTAACTAACTAACTAACTAACTAACTAACTAACTAACTAACTAACTAACTAACTAACTAACTAACTAACTAACTAACTAACTAACTAACTAACTAACTAACTAACTAACTAACTAACTAACTAACTAACTAACTAACTAACTAACTAACTAACTAACTAACTAACTAACTAACTAACTAACTAACTAACTAACTAACTAACTAACTAACTAACTAACTAACTAACTAACTAACTAACTAACTAACTAACTAACTAACTAACTAACTAACTAACTAACTAACTAACTAACTAACTAACTAACTAACTAACTAACTAACTAACTAACTAACTAACTAACTAACTGAAGTACTAACTGTGATAGTTATTTACATGGATACGTATTTGCAACATGTCTATTTTAGCTGGTCGGTTACATTTTGTAGATTATATCAAACTAATCTGCAACGATTGTCAATCAGACCAGTATGTGAATCGTTGAGTTCTACGTGTAATTTCAGTTTGACAATAATCATAGATAATAGATACCAGCGGAATACATAGTTACATCCAATGGATGATTCCTGAATATAACGAAACATGTATCATATAAATTTAATGGATCTTTTTTAAACTATCTTGACTTCTAGTTATTTTAACCGCCCTTTAATATTGTTTAACTTCTTGTTTGTTTATTTTTTTTTTTATTCCAGAAAATACTTTATCTTCAAGTTTAACTGGTGTCACTTCGATGATTCTTATTTTTAGTAGTATTGTCTTAATTCTATTACTTACTGGATTCATACTGTTCATTATTTTGAACAGACGACATGCTAACAATCATAAACAATTTATTGAAATTCAAAGAGTTGATTATCGGTAAGTTGAAATGTTTCCTCAAGATTATTTAATAACATGAATAATGTAATAATGTTTAATAATATTGCTAAGGTATTCATAAGAAACCTGAAGTTGTTGAAATCTATCATAACCAATCATTTTGCTTGAAGGTTTCAATTGAAGAAAAAAAAATGAATAAAATATAACCTTCTAAAAGGCTTGGAAATAATTAAGATCAGTGTAAATGAATACAAACCATAATATTTTGTATATATTTCTACGTTGTAATGTACATTCTATAGGTATTCAATTATTATTATTATTATTATTATTAGTCCCTTGGGTTCCTAATGGAACATAGGGCTTCAGTAGCACGTCTCTAGTGAACTCTGTTCTCTAAAATCTTTTCAACCTGGCTCCACGACAGCCCAGAAGCTCTCATTTCCTCCTAGCACCATCTCCTCCATGTCATCCTCGGACGTCCAACTCGTCGCTTCCCATGGGGATTCCACTCGAGCATCTGGCCTGACACGTGATGTCCCCAGTCGGCCTTCTCAGTGCATGCCCAATCCACCTCCACTTCCTTCCACTGCATATTTGTTGGGTGACAGGTTCTTGGTTGGTTTGTTCCCAGACTTGCTTCTTGCTTATTCTTTACCGCCTTCTCATCTGAGCTTCAGTAGCGAGCGCAAGCAGTTGTTGATGAATATCTGTAGTTTGTTGGAAATACCTTTCGTAACGCACCAAGTCTCTCAACCATCACATAGAAGCACTGACTCGCTTGACTGAATTGGTGTTAAAAATCCGGATGTTGTTCACGCTTTATGCTGAGTTGAGTGGAGAAGATCTCCACACTGGTTTCAGGCTAGTGAACGCCTGTCTTGCTTTTCCGATTCTGACTTTGGCATCCTCGTCTGTGCTGCCACCTGTTGTTGAAACGATGCTTCTAAGATAGGTGAAGGAGGTTACTTCCTTTAAGTTTCTCCTATTGATGGTGATTGGAGCCTATCATTGTCGTTGGTTGGATATCTTCATCACCTCTGTCCTTTCTATATTCACTTGAAGTGCCGTCTTCCCTCACTACCCTGCCTCTTCTGTCAACTTGTTAGTTTTTGCCTGTAGATCTTCAAGTTTGTGTGATATGAGACACAAGTCATCGGTGAAATCCAGATCGTCTAGATTCTTTTCCGCAGTCAAGCGTATCCCCCTCTTCTCACTCCTCACTGTTTGCTGCATGATTCAGTCGACCACACAGGTATTCAATACTCCAAGGTTTTTGAAGATGTCCATCCCTTATATGGAGCTTACTTAAATCAATCAGTCTCTCACAATCGTTTAAATTATATAGCTGTTTAGAAGCATTCCAGATCATATTTGTTACAAATTTCCTGAAAGAAATTGACCGCCGAGAATGCAATTTAATATAATCCCAGAGTTGATGTTAGATAGAGTTTGAAGTTGTGTAAGTCATAGCTTGTTTGAAATGGAATAATTCCAACAGATAATTAGGTTTAGTATAACTGTTTGTAGTAAACCATCATTGATTGAACCCATTCGGAAAAACATCACTCACTGGGAAGCAGATACATCACGCTGACCAGTCTCAAATGGAGCAAAATGCGCATTCTGGATTCCACTGCTAACCACTAACCATCATCAAGATACCTAAATGATCAGAAGAAAAGATTTTGTAAGATGAATTTTAGGATGTACTGAAATTCCCTCCGAAGAATTGGTTAAGCATACTCATAATCGCATAACGTAAGGAGACCTAAGACGAAATAAGAAGTATTCTCATCATCATCATCATCATCATCATCATCATCATTATCAACATAGGACCAGGCACCACTGTATAATGGTCTGAGTTGCCACACTTCATATCAGTACATCAAGTGGAAAGGTAGTGAGGTGAAAGATGAAGATAAGAAGATTCAGTCAAAAGAAATATAAAGTACGAAAAGAGAGAGAAGAAGAATGAGTCAGTCTCCAACTACTGGTTTCTATCGTCCCACCGACCCCAGCCCCACATGACTCGAACAAACAGTCAGAAACTTCACACATTCATGCCATGTTTCAGTCTGGCCACCTCAGGCCCTTTCCAGCCTGCACCTACTTCGCTCAACATTCTGTGATGAGGCAGACGACAAATAGGCATACGTAACACATGTCCCAGCCAACCATCTCACTCGATGAACATTCATAACCTCATCAACTGATTTACCTCTCCTCTACCCTAAAACTCTACACCTAACTTCTGAGTTACTCATGTGTTGACACCACGGAATACGACCTATACTACGAAGGTGACGGTGGTCAAACACCTGAAGCCAGCCTTCTCATGTTTTCCACCTTGAATGGGCATGTTTCACAGCCAGTAGAAGAGAAGAGTGGAGTTGACTGCAGTGCAGTGCAGTGCAGAACATGGTATCTTTAGTAGACGAATGGATATCACGGTTGTGCCATAGGTGTCATGAGTTGGCGAAAGCCAACCGAGTCTTATGTATTCGTGCAGAGGTTTCATCGGCAACTGACCATTGCAACGGGCTGATACTACTTCCCAGGTAAGTGAAGTGATTGACACACTCAACTACTTCACTCAATATTGTTGTTCGCATAGGGGCCCCTTCGAACACCAGTCCTAGGACAACAATTTGCATTTGGTTGGTGGGAAACGCATCTCAAACATTTTCAAATTCCCACTCGAAGTGTTCAGAAGACTCTGCATGTTGTCAGTGTTTTCACCTAACAGGAATGTGTCATCTGTATATTCTAGGTTTGACGAAAATTCTCTTGTGATTAGGTCAACGTCTGTGTAACGTGGTGACAAGAGGGAGACCTTCATAAGAATATCTATGATGAAATTGAATAAGAATAGAGACAGTGGGCATCCTTCACTGACACCACTCGATGAGCATAGCTCCATGGACATCTCACCATAGGCTCTAACACGTTTACAAGTGTTTGAGTAGAGAGCCTTCAACAAGGTGATGTACTTGCTCGGCACGCCTTTGAGTGAGATACATTGCTATAAGACTTCTCAATCAGCGGAGTCCAATGCCGGCTTCAGGTCAAGAAATGCAGCTATTGTCGGACGTCTGTAAGCGTGTCTATGTTCCAGGACCTGGCGTAGTTTGAATACTTGGCCGATGCACCAGCGGCTGGGTCTAAATCCTGCCTGGTTTTCTCAGGCTAGCTGTTCCCGCGCTCCACTCAGGCGTCGGAGAATTATAGAATCTAGGATCTTGGACACTATATTCGTCGAGAATTATTCTGAACAGACATGACATGAGAGTTTACTCTCGTGCAACCAATACCCTAAGCTATAACTTAATACAAGTTAAAGATGTAGGTAGTATCTAAAGAAAATCAAAAGAACTGCGTTTATGAAATCATATGAGCAAATTTTACTGCAGTTTATGTAAGCGTAACATCTAAGCAGAAAAATGTGAGAGCAAAGGAGCATGATTTATGTTTAAAGTGAAATCCAACAATGTTAGCAGAGGTTAAGAAGCTAGAAAATAAATCCTCAATCGGTCTACACCTTATAGAAATGGGTCAGAAAATTGATTACGACGGAACCAAAGTTTTAAAAAGTAGCTTTAGGTTATACCAGCAAAGATTGACAACCGAACGAACGAATCCATACAGTTTCAACAGACGAGATAGAGTACAGTTAGCAGCATCTTGGGGAGATTAGTAATTATTATAAGGTGATGACTGAACGTCAAATGAAAATTTCGACAGCAACAGGATTCAGATCATCATCATCATCATCATTTCTATCAGTCATTTTCAGTCTATTTAGGCAAACCAATGAAAAACTCTCTACTACTGTTCACCCTCCATATACCCCACGAAATGTCATGCATATCTGCCCAACATATTCTATTTTACTTATAAAATTACAGAATGACTATTATGTCACCCGGGCCTTTTACTGTCTGATATTTACAAACAAGTGGAATATGAATGGTAATACACACAAACGCGCGTGCACACACACACACACTAACCATACAGAAAGAGACATACGATTTCACACTGAAAGATAAGTTCTGATGTTTCAAGCAGAGTATTGAACAAGGAGATGAAATACACGTCATTGGATTCATTCAAACCATTGAAAGTCTGGGAGCAGTGGATAGCTGTTTCGTCCAAGTATTGGACTCCTCAGTAGTACACACTCATGATTCAGCTAGGGATCGAACTCAGGACATTCAGGTTTTACGGTGAACGTGTTAACCACTCAGTCATTGGGTCGGTTCCCAGTAGTTCACAATTTTCAACTTCTGTCAATTCACGACGTAGCGCCGAGTCGTGGGTGCATACTGCTGAGGAGTCCCATAATAGGATGATACAGCTGTCCAGTGCTCCGAAATTTTCATTGGTTCTCCAAATGATATCATTTCATGATGAATACTACTTTTAAATTAAAAAAACCCTATTCATCTCAAAAATACATTGAAATTTTTATTGTTTCACTGAAAAAGTTGGAGTAGACTTTCATATAAAACACTACAATTGTTATATTTCAAACATGCTGTAACTCACACATATTCAAATCATATCTAATGTCAATCTTTTATTCAATGTCCAACATTTGTTATACTACTTGGTCAAACCTTAATCATTTTTGGACGTTTCGTTGTGTAAAGCACAGCTTCTTCAGCAGAATATTCAGATTTTTATTAACACGAAAATATCTAGTGTTACTGCTTGTATTACACCGTCGTTGATTGGACCAAATTGACCAGTCTGTGTTAGTATATGGGCTCCTGTGCGAATGCCTCAAGTCCCAAATAGGATGAAATGCGCATCCTAGATTCCATTGCCAGCCACTACCCATCACTACTATACATGAGAATATATAGTCAACTTATTGTTATTATTTGTCCCTTGGGTTCCTTATGTAGCATAGGGCTTCACTAGCACGTCTCCAATGCTCTCTGTTCTCTGAAATCTTTTGAACCTGGCTCCACGACAGCCTAGAAGCTCTCATTTCCTCCTCACACGATCTCCCCCATGTCACCCTCATC